TGTTCCAATAAGAAAACAATGTTCTTAGAACAGGAATCCGATGTGTTCAAACAAGACAGACTCCGCCAGAAATGTTCTAAGAACATTTCGTGGAAACCACAAAAGGTTCTTACAACATTGTTTGGTCGGGCTATAGGCACGCCGGGACGCTTCGCTACTGCTTGAAGATTTTCGCCACATCCTGGGGTCCCCGAGGCCTTCTGGGCCTCGCGAGGGCCCTCTGGAGGCCGTGCAGATAGGGGCCTCCTTGGGCCAGGGGCACTTCTGAGGAAACCAAAGACCTGCCATCGCTCGAACGTCCGTTCCCCGCGCACCTTCCGGCTTCGTGCGTGATTCTTGTTGCAAACTGATCCAGGATGCTCCTCGATGGTCCTCGCTGACGAAAAAGCTGATCCAGGATGCTCCTCGATGGTCCTTGCTGACAGAATGCGCACGGCCGAACCGTGCCAAGCCAAAAGGTACCGACACCACTGATCCCCGAATCTCTCCCAAGGGGTGCGCTCTGACAAGGAGATTTCGAAGCGAGGCCAACGGCGGCGACGAGGCCCTCCCACAGGAGGACCGGGGCCGACACCATCCGTGCACGCAACAGATTTCGCAACCCCCCTTTCGCCATCCCTCCCTCTAGAGGCCTCCTGGACGGGGTCGGCGCAGATTGGGTCGGAGGATCGCGCCGCATCGCGATGCATCGGCGACGCCGGCGATGCATCGGCACCATCTGCGTGAAGAGAAAATCGGGCTCCACACCAGGCCGCATCGCCGTTGCCTCGGCGATGCGGCGCGATCCGATCCCGTCTATTCCGACCCCGTCTGGGAGGCCTAGGGCCAGACCCTCTCGCTCGGCCCGAGAGCGGCCCCTCCTCCGCGTGCCTGGGCCTCGTCCGGCAGCCCCTGCGGCTCCGGCAGCACCGGCCGCGCCGCGAGGGCCGCCTCCCAGATCTCCGGCGGCAGCTCCAGGCGCTGGCGGGCCTCCTCCAGCACAGTGGAGGCGTCTCTCTCGGGGCGGGCCAGGAGGGGCAGGCGGTGGGTTCGCCCAAGGACGGACTGAGACAGCAGGAGGCCCGACCACAAGAGGCCTTCCGCAAGAAACCCAACCCTGAGACCGCCGGACGTCCATCCATTCCTCGTGTGGGAACGTCACGCTCTCCATGGCAAAAGCATCGAAACCCAAGAAACCCCGGGGCACCCTGGAGGCGAGGAGGGTGTTCCTTGGCACGGGTCTCCACTGTACTACAGTCAAAACGTGCATCAGGACGGGTCGCAAGGATGCAAGACCCTTGGAGAGGCTGAAGTTGGGATTTCTTGGGCGGCGGGCGACCAGTGAAAACAGTAAAGGACGGGCCGCAGAGGCAGGGACACAAGAGCATCATCGAAGAAGGCGCGCGTCCTAGGCGCGTTCACTGTATGTCCTCTTCGGAGGCGTGCATCAGACCCGAGCATCCACAGTAGATCGTTTCCCGAGTGGTGCGGCCAGAAAGCGCCAGCCACGGGGAATGTATTACAAGATTTCTCGGCGCGCGTGTCGAAACCTGAGGAACATTGGCGGCGAGCAAGGGGGGGGAAGTGGGAAGGAGAACTCCTTCTCAGAAGGCGGCAGGGCTTCTCAGAAGGCCTCCGGCCTTCCGGGAGATGTTCCATGTCTTCGGTGAAGGCTTAGGAGACTTCTCAGAGTAACAGGGCGCTTCCGAGCCTTCCGCGAAGGCCTTCTCCTTCAACTTCCCTCCCGGGCTCGCCGCCGAGGACACATGACAAGACCAACCAGCATCGACTCGGGAGATCGGATCGGATCGGAGACTTCGTCGGAACGGGCTACACCGGCACGGAGTCGGAACCGAATCGGGTCGGCTGCGCAGGGATGCACAACGACGCTAGGCGAGCATCGGGCCGCATCGGATCGTCGCAGTATCGGCATCGCACCGGATGGGGCCCGCCAGAGATGCCATCGAATATATTTCCGTGGGGCACCTGCCGGCAGACCGTTTTTTTGTTTCTTTATGTTTTCTGTTTTTTGTTGGAAACATTGGGAGCCCACGAAAAACGTACGCGCCCACCCATCTTCATGAACACGGCCCCCAAATCCGCGAGACCAGCCGCGTGATACGAACGTTCGCGCAGCACGGACTCTCGAAACCAAAGTGGATTCATGTACGTGTACGGCAGGCTTGTGTCGTGCCGACCCCAGCGTTGGTTCCTGACACCGCGGGGATCGCTCAACCTTGAACGATCGGCCGTTTCCGGAACGTCAGATCGTTCCACATCGACCGACTCTTGGTCGCCAGCGGCGTTCAGCGTTGAGCGCCGGCGGCAAGGTCGCCGCTGGTCGACACGAAGCGAACCTACCGTCCTACCGTATGTCCTTCTTTCGCTCCTGATATTTGATGTGCCCACTGTGCCCCACCTCGGCGGTGGACAAACCTCCCTTTAGTACACCTCCCCTTAGTGAAAACGGCCTGGGACCGAAACCGACGGACCCGGACCCGCAAAAATGACGGCCACGACGCCCTCTCGCGAACCGAAAGCGGCCAATTCCTTAATCGACGCGTCAGGGCAGGAGGTCTGTCTCGGGCTGGGCGAAAGGGGGGGATAGCAAAGGGGGGGTTTGAGAATCAGCTCACGTAGCTGATTTTCCTGGCGCCTCCCAGCGCCGGGAGGCGCCCATGTATCAGGGAATGGGCCCCTCGGTGGGGCCGAAACCAGCTGCATGCAGCAGATTTCGCAACCCCCCCTTTCCCAATCCCCCGCTTTCGCCCGACCCGAGATGTGCCCATTGTGCCCCACACCCCCTCGCCCGACCCGAGCCTCCGGACGCGGGGCCGGACGCGGCCACCGCCTCCCGCAGCAGGCTGGCGAGCTCGGGCAGGAGCTCCTCTCGGTGGAAAGCGCGGGGGGAGAGGAGAAGGAGAAGGCCTTCTCGGAGGGCTCGGAAGCTTTCGACGCCCTCCCCGAAGACACAGGCAGAAACCTCGCAGAAAGCGCGAGGGCTTTCTGAGGAGCCCCGCTGCCTTCTGAAGGCCTGCTCTTGCTCACTTCCCCCCCCTCGCTCGCCGCCGATCCTCGATCTGCAGCATCGAGGCCACCTGCACCAGCTGCAGCGCGCTCACGACGTCCACCGGCCGCCACCGCACGACGAGGCCCACCTCCGAGGCCTGGGCGTCGTCCATGGCCGCCGCCATGCGCGCCAGGAGCGCGCGCAGCGCAGAGGTGGGGCAGCCCTCTGGCATGAAGACCTGAGCGACGACAAGAACGTGAACGTTTTCGCAGTCGGCGCTTCGACATTGGGCGGCAGGGGGAGGGGAAGTGGGAGGGTCTGGCTCTGGACCTCTGCTCAGTGCGACTGCTTGCACCAGTGCGTCCTATGGGGGAGACTCCACCTGCTGGAAACAGGCACCAAAGACAGCCAAGATCTACTCTCGGCGGTGGACAAACCTCCCTTTAGTACACCTCCCCTTCGTGAAAACGGCCTGGGACCGAAACCGACGGACCTGGACCCGCAAAAATGACGGCCGCGACGCCCTCCCGCGAACCGAAAACGGCCAATTCGTCAATCGACGTGTCAGGGTAGGAGGTCTGTCCACCTCCGATACTCCATGGGTGGGGGGTGGGGAATGGGGTGCGACGGCCCGCGCCGCTCTGCAAAACCGTGAATGAGAGAACGACCCCAAACGGGTCTTACGCATGACACTACAGCGACCTCACGCAGTGCCTTGCGCGGTCCGCCAGCGCGGCACGCTCAATGGGAAACGAGGGCGCTGCCGGCGCGGCCGCGGATGGCTCACGTGCGAATGTCCCAGACCCCTAACGCCATGATTTTTTCCATGACGCGACCCCCGGGTCCGGCTTCTCATCCCGAGTCGTTTTTCGGCGGTCCCGAGGCCCGGTGAGGGCCCCCTTGAGGCAGAAGAGAGCGAAAAACCTCCCGCCGTGACTTTTGTCACGGCCCGAGGGGGTCTGGGGCCCGCGCAGTGGAACCTGCGTTTCGTGCGCCGCTCGCCTGAACCGTGGCCGTCTCGCAGGGGGCCCCGTGCACTGCCTCTGCCTCCGCCTGCAAGCCGCACGCGGCCCCACCGCCGTCGCCGCCCGGGCGCCGCCACGCCGCCGAGAGGGCGGAGACCACGTACGGGATGCGCGCCGCCACTGCGCCTGTGATGGCCAAGATCTCGCTCGCCTTGGGGAGATGTGGGGTCCCGAAACGGTGCGGTGACAGACCGTGCGGTGACCTCGAACTCTCCCCAAGACCCCACCGCGCGGTTCGTCAACGGACGGCTTTGGAATCTCGGATGCCCCAGTCGCCCGAGACGTCCTCTGAGAACGACCCGAGTCCCAAAACCGTGCGGTGACCCCGAATCCCCACCGACTCACCACACGGTGTGGTCACCACCCTGTGTGGGGGCCGCCGAAGAAAATAAAAAGTACCGGTGCCGCTACTCCCCAGGCTTCTTCCGGGGCGCGTTCTGACCAAGATTTCGAAGCGAATCCAGCGGTGCCGACGAGGGCCAAACAGGAGGCCCAAAAAGGGGAAAACTAGCAGAAGGTAGAGGTATGGGCACCTTTTTCTACTCTGACGCCTTCGCTGCAGCCGCGGGATCGCTGCTGCAGCCCGCGCCGCGGCCAGCATCGCCGACGCGACCGGAACTGGCGAGCACCTCCAGCCGCACCAGCGCCGGCAACCTCCCGGCGGCCGCGGCTGGCTGGCTCGCGCAGTGCAGTTGCCACGCCGGAGCCTCCGCCACGCCACTGGCTTCGGCGGCTTGCCATGGAAGGAAGCGGGCCCCTACCGAGACGGTTGAGCGCGAATTCGTGGGGGGGCGACCAAGGGGGGGGAGGAAGATGCCCTACCCGGGCCCCATGAAAGCCCCCTCTTGGGTCCTAAAGGGTCCCTCTATAGGGGTCCTAGAAGGCCCCTATGTTGCCCCCCGATTGATCGCCCCCTTCATTACGCCCAGATGGGGCATATCCTCCTACAGGCGGATTTTGGAAGAATGGTACAAATACTTACAGTCATGCTACCGAGGAGCCCCACATACTTTAGTCTATTGCTGCGTACACTACGCTACCTCTACCACCGCCACCACCACGAGCCAGACGAACCAGCCAGCGCAACAAACCAGACCAAGCAAATCAACCAGACAAGAGTGCAGGCGCTGAACGACCGTTTGAAAACGTGATCGTCGTCATCGTCCTCGTCGTCTTTATCGTACTCGTCGTACTAGTAGTCGTACTCATCGTCGTGCCTCGTCGTCGTACTCGACGTTATATTCGTCGTCGTCGTCGTACGTTGTCGTCGTACCCGTCGTCGTCGTATCTTGTCGTCTCGTGCACCGCGTCATCGTCTTCGTACTCGTCGTCATCGTATATCGTCGTCGTATTGGTGGTCGTCTGCGCCGTCGTACACATCGTCGCACTCGTCGTCAACGTACTCGTTGTACTCGTTGTACTCGTCGTCGCATTCGTCGTCGTACTCTTCGTCGTAACTCGTCTCCGTACTCGTCGTCGTATATCTCGTCGTACTCGTAGTCGTCATACTCGTCGCAATCGTCGTCGTCGTCGAGCTTGTCGTACTCGTCGTGATCGTCGTCATACTCGTCGTCGTCGTCATACTCGACGATGCGACTATCCTCGGGCGTGGGCAAAGAGGATGAGCAGGAGTGCGAACATGAGGGGAAGGGATTGTTGGAACAGCTAAGGAACAACGTGTTTGATGTTTCCCTTCGTCCTCAGCCAGGTCCGCGCTATTTCGCGCGCAGTAGGATAGCCTAGTCATCTCTTCGACGGGAAGTCTCCGAGATGCGCGTACAAGAGAATGGAAACGTGCGCTGTCGGCATTGGCCCCATGTGCCCTTCGAAGGAAAATCCTTGTGTCGCGGCTGGCACGAGGACATGGGCAGGCGCTCTCGTCTCGCCAGGGAACGATTCGAGCGCATCACCAACGGCTCCCTTTCGACGGGGAAAGAGAGAATGGAGGTCACCGAGGGCCGTTTGATGGAGCGGGGCGCGGAGAAAGTTCTTGCAGTAAAGACGCAAATTCTGCGCGCGAAGGTTCCGAGCTGCACGTGCAGGTGAGAAAACATTAGAAAACCCCGTCGACGGAAATTCTCCGGGAGCGCTCTTCGAGCTCCGGCGCGAGCACGCCTGCGTGCAAACCCGAACGGTCTGAGCCGGCATGAGCTAAGGTGGCTAAAACATCCTGGTGGAGATGCCACTCACCTCGCTTGCTTCCCCCTGTGCCCTGAGCACGACCGGCACGGATGGCAAGCTTGCGTGCCGATGTGCCCTGAACACCACCGTCACGGATAGAGGCCGCCCCCAGGGACCACCCCCAAGCGCGCCCCCCATTGGTGTCGAGAAAACGCCACGCCTGCAGTGCCCTGGACGACCGTCACGGATAGCGGCCGCTCTTAGGGACCACCCCCTGCGCACCCCCTGTGGTGCCCAGTAAACGCCACGCCTGCTGTGACCTGGACGACCGTCACGGATAAAGGCCGCGGTCAGTGACCACCACGTGCGCACCCCATGGTGGTGTCGAGAATCTGCCACGCCTGCTAGGGCAAGGACGACCGTCACGGATAGCGGCCGCCCTTAGGGACTACCCCCTGCGCCCCCCCTGTGGTGCTCAGGGCACGCCACGCCTGCTATGCCCTGGACGACCGTCACGGATAACGGCCGCGCACAAAGACCACCCCGTGCGCACCCGCTATGGTGTCAAGAAAACGCCACGCCTGCTGTGCCCTGGACGACCGTCACGCATAGCGGCCACCCTCAGGGACCACCCCGTGCGCACCCGCTATGGTGTCGAGAATCTGCCCACGCCTGCTATGCCCTGGACGACCGTCACGCATAGCGGCCGCCCTCAGGGACCACCCCCTGCGCACCACCTGTTGGCGCGCATGTATTGCGTGGTGTGCGTGTCATGTGTTTGTGTGTTTGCGTGCTTGTGTGTGTGTGCTGGGCTGTGAAGTGCAGTGCTGTGCTGTGCTGTGCTGAACTGAGCTGAGCTGAGCTGTGCTGTGCTGAGCTGGTCTGTGCTATGATGTGCAGTGCTGTGCTGTGCTGAGGTGCTGTGCTTTGTTGTGCAGTGCTGTGCTTAGCTGCTTAACTGTGCTGTGCTGAGCTGAGCTGTGCGGAGCAGTGCTGTGTACGTGCTGTGCTGTGCTGTGTGTCAATGTGCTGTGTGCTGTGCTGTGCTATGCTGTGCTGTACTGTGCTGTGCTGTGCTGCGCTGTGCTGTGTGAGAAGGAGGAGGAGGAGGAGGAGGAGGAGGAGGAGGAGGAGGAGGAGGAGGATCAGGATGAGGAGGAGGAGGAGGAGGAGGGGTGAGGAGGAGCAACGTGGGAAGGAAGAACACCATAACCCCACTAAGCATGTGGGGAAATAATCAAACCACACCCGAAAACTGTCAAACAAAAACCGAGAAAATCGTCACCATACTATTGTTTGACTATTCTTGAATATTCTTCCTGTGCGACGGACAGGCCCGACTTAAACATTAAGGCGTCCTCCGACTGGGACCAACCGGGGCTGGACAAAGGCCTTCCCCCTTCCCAGGACCTGCCCTTCCCCAAAATTAAGCCGATCTCGATGACCCTGGGGCCATGAGACGGCCCCACCAGCCTGGAACCTGCGGCAAACCTCAAGTGAGATATCGACGAGAAACAAATCGGGCCCCACATCGAGCCGCATCGGCGATACATCGGCGATCCGGCGCGATTCTCCGACCCAATCTACTGCGACCCCATCTAAGAGGCCTAAAGATAAGACGCTGGTACCGCTACCCCCTGGACCTGGGTCGCGTTTTGGCTAGGACACCGCGAAGAATCCAGCCGTGGCGACGAGGGATCTCCAGGACGAGCAGCGGTATCATCTGAGCGACCCGTTTCCCTCCATCGAGGAGCAACAAAAACTGCATGACGATTTCGTGGATCGGCGCTGGATCCCCCTCCTTGGCGTGCGGAGCGCGCCAGGGGCGGCGCTGGAGGCGCCGCCAGGGGGGCCTAAGCGCAGATCTGGTTCATCTGCGCGGAATCGCGGAAATGTGTGTTTTTCCCAACCATCTTGTGGTGTTGGGTCCTCGTTTTGAAGAGACGGTGCCCCGCGTTCCCGCCTCCTTCCTCCCTCCCTCCTCCCCCCTCCTCCCCCTCCCACACCCATTCTGGCACACCCCTCACACGTTTCGTGGCCCCATAGGGAGCTCCACCGAAGGCCCCAGTGGCTGCGCCCGCATGCGGTTCCACCCCCCATTCTGGCACACCCCTCACACGTTTCGTGGCCCCATAGGGAGCTCCACCGAAGGCCCCAGTGGCTGCGCCCGCATGCGGTTCCACCCCCCATTCTGGCACACCCCTCACACGTTTCGTGGCCCCATAGGGAGCTCCACCGAAGGCCCCAGTGGCTGCGCCCGCATGCGGTTCCACCCCCCATTCTGGCACACCCCTCACACGTTTCGTGGCCCCATAGGGAGCTCCACCGAAGGCCCCAGTGGCTGCGCCCGCATGCGGTTCCACCCCCCATTCTGGCACACCCCTCACACGTTTCGTGGCCCCATAGGGAGCTCCACCGAAGGCCCCAGTGGCTGCGCCCGCATGCGGTTCCACCCCCCATTCTGGCACACCCCTCACACGTTTCGTGGCCCCATAGGGAGCTCCACCGAAGGCCCCAGTGGCTGCGCCCGCATGCGGTTCCACCCCCCATTCTGGCACACCCCTCACACGTTTCGTGGCCCCATAGGGAGCTCCACCGAAGGCCCCAGTGGCTGCGCCCGCATGCGGTTCCACCCCCCATTCTGGCACACCCCTCACACGTTTCGTGGCCCCATAGGGAGCTCCACCGAAGGCCCCAGTGGCTGCGCCCGCATGCGGTTCCACCCCCCATTCTGGCACACCCCTCACACGTTTCGTGGCCCCATAGGGAGCTCCACCGAAGGCCCCAATGGCTGCGCCCGCATGCGGTTCCACCCCCCATTCTGGCACACCCCTCACACGTTTCGTGGCCCCATAGGGAGCTCCACCGAAGGCCCCAGTGGCTGCGCCCGCATGCGGTTCCACCCCCCATTCTGGCACACCCCTCACACGTTTCGTGGCCCCATAGGGAGCTCCACCGAAGGCCCCAGTGGCTGCGCCCGCATGCGGTTCCACCCCCCATTTCGGCACACCCCTCACACGCTTCGTGGGTGGCTCCATGGGGAGCTCCACCGAACGCCCCAGTGGCTGCGCTCGCATGTGGTTCCCCCCCCCATTTCGGCACACCCCTCACACGGTTCGTGGCCCCATAGAGAGCTCCACCGAAGGCCCCAGTGGCTGCGCTCGCATGCGGTTCCACCCCCTTTTTCGGCACGCCCTTCACACGTCTCGTGGCCCCATAGGGAGCTCCACCGAACGCCGCAGTGGCTGCGCTCGCATGCGGTTCCGCCCCCCATTTCGGCACACCCCTCACACGTTTCGTGGCTCCATAGGGAGCTCCACCGAAGGCCCCAGTGGCTGCGCTGGCATGCGGTTCCACACCCCATTCTGGCACACCCCTCGCACGTTTCGTGGCCCCATAGGGGGCTCCACCAAAGGTCCCAGTGGCACTGCCCGCTTGCGTCCGCCACCACCCAGCACAGCCCTTGTTCCCTGCGCTTCACCCACCCAGAACAGCGCTTCGTAGCCCTATAGGGAGCTCCACCAAAGGTCCCAGCGGCACCGCCCGCATGCGTCCGCCACCACCCTGCACAGCCCTTGCTCCCTGCCTGCGTTTCACCCACCCAGTACAGCGTTTCGTGGCCCCATAGGGAGCTACACCGAAGGTCCCAGTGGCACCGCTCGCATGCGTCCGCCACCACGCAGCACAGCCCTTGCTGACCGCGTCTCACCCACCCAGTACAGCGTTTCGTGGTCCCATAGGGAGCTCCACCGAAGGTCCCAGTGGCACCGCCCGCATGCGTCCGCCACCACCCAGCACAATTGCGGCATTCACAACTGCATATGGTTGGGTCCTTCGCCAGGCTAATGTACCGCTTCTTTTCCTTCGAGCATCGGTCACCTCTTCCTCCTCTGAGCGGCCCGCTGCCCTCCCGGAGGAGCAGGAGGAGGAGGAGCAAGAGGAGGAGGAGGGAGGGAGGGATGGAGGGAGGAGGAGGAGGAGGAAGAAGAGCAGGAGGAAGAGGTGGAGGGAGGAGGAGGAGCAGGAGGAGGAGCAGAAAAAGGAACAGGGAGGGAGAAAGGAAGGGAGGAAGAGGAGAAGGAGGAATAGGAGAAATAAGAGGAGGAGGAGCAGGAGCAGCAGGAGCAAGAGGAGCAGGAGGAGCAGCAGGAGGAGGAGGAGGAAGAGGAGGGGGAGGATGAGGAAGAGGAGGAGGAGGAGGAGGAGAGCAGGAGGAGGAGGAGGAGGAGGAAGCAGGAGGAGCAGGGAGGAGGCGGAGCAGGAGCAGGAGGAAGGAGGGAGGGAGGGAGGGAGGGAAGGAGGGAGGGTGGGAAAGGAGGAGGAGGAGGAGGAGAGAGGAGGAGGATGAGGAGGAGGAGGAGGGAGGAGGAGGAGGAGGAAGAGGAGGAGGAGGAGGAGGTAAAGAAGAGGAGGGAGGAGGGGGGCGGAGGAGGACGAGGACATTTGCAGTCGCCGGAAAGGGGCCCGTTCCCTCCGCGGCGATGCGGCGCCCTCCGCCGCCGCGGGCGCGGCGCGCTCAGCCGCCGCGTGCGCGGTGCCGCCCGCGGGTCTCTGTGCGGCGCCGCCGGGCGCCATGGCGGCGGGGAGGCCCCGCGGCCGCGCCGAGGGGGCGGCGCGGCCGCGGGGGGGGGGGGCCGCGCGGCCGCGCTCGGAGCGCCCGAAGCGGGCGCGCGGAGCGTTGCGCCGCCTCTTCGCAGAAATGGTTCCTCGCGGAACTAATGGGAGGAAACAGTGTTTGATCCGCGGGTCGAGAACGAGCCTCTTCCGGTCGAAGCTACTCTCTCTCTATATATATGTATGTATGTATGTTTATATATACATACATACATATATGTGTATACATATATACATATACATATATATATATATATATATATATATGAGAGGAAACAGACAAACAGGATCAGAAACTTCTGGCGCTCCGCGCGGACTTCTTAGACCTGCGCTGGGCCTCCCTCCCTGGCGCGCGCAGCACGCCAGGGGCGGCGCCGGGGGCGCCGCAGGGGGAGGCCCGGCCCGGCGCAGATCTGAGAAAGCCGCACGGAGCGCCAAAAATCCGCCGACCCCTTGGGGTTCATCGGCGTGTGAGATGTTCCCCCTCCCCAAACCCCTCCCCCCGGGGGGGCTTCTCGTCCCCCGTCCGGGCGCCCCCTCCTGGAGCCGCCTGGGGGGCTCCTCGGGCCGTCTCGGAGGCCGTCTTGGGACCGTCTGAGGGCCCCCCTGCGGCGCCCAAAATATGCCACGCCTGCCACGCCCTGGGGGCCTACACCGCACAGGGCCCCCCACCCCCAGCGCACCCCCTGTGGCGTTGTGCTGTGATGTGCTGTGCTGCTGTGCGGTGAGCTGTGATGTGCCGTGCTGTGCTGTGCTGTGCTGAGCTGAGCTGGGCTGTGAGGGGGAGGGGAAGAGTGAGGTGTGTGTGAGAGAGAGAGACGGAGCGAAAGGTGAGGAGACGCGGGTGCGCCGCGGCAGGGAGGAACGCAAGAACCCCACGAAACATGTGGGGAATAAGCGATTGTCCAGGGAAGGTAAGTTATATGATGCTGCTGATGAGGATGATGCTGATGATGATGATGATGATGATGATGATGGTGACGATGCTGATCTTGATGGTGATGACGGCACAAGACTCACTCGAGAGATCTCGAGGCTCGCGGCTATACAACTTGCCAGCAGGCGCTCGGCACAAGGCTGCCTCGCCCAGTTGCTCGTAGTAGTAGTAGTAGTAGTAGTAGTAGTAGTAGTAGTAGTAGTAGTAGTAGTAGTAGTAGTAGTAGTAGTAGTAGTAGTAGTAGTAGTAGTAGTAGTAGTAGTAGTAGTAGTAGTAGTAGTAGTAGTAGTAGTAGTAGTAGTAGTAGTAGTAGTAGTAGTAGTAGTAGTAGAAGTAGCAGTAGTAGTAGTAGTAGTAGTAGTAGTAGTAGTAGTAGTAGTAGTAGTAGTAGTAGTAGTAGTAGTAGTAGTAGTAGTAGTAGTAGTAGTAGTAGTAGTAGTAGTAGTATAGTAGTAGTAGTAGTAGTAGTAGTAGTAGTAGTAGTAGTAGTAGTAGTAGTAGTAGTAGTAGTAGTAGTAGTAGTAGTAGTAGTACTACTAGTAGTAGTAGTAGTAGTAGTAGTAGTAGTAGTAGTAGTAGTAGTAGTAGTAGTAGTAGTAGTAGTAGTAGTAGTAGTAGTAGTAGTAGTAGTAGTAGTAGTAGTAGTAGTAGTAGTAGTAGTAGTCAGAAGAAGTAGTAGTAGTAGTAGTAGTAGTAGTAGTAGTAGTAGTAGTAGTAGTAGTAGTAGTAGTCACTACGAGTAACTATTACCTACTACCACTACTACTAGTACTAGTGGATATTACCACTACTACGACTAACTACTACTAATACTACTCGTACTACCTGTCCGCCGTGGCCCTGGTGAGCTTGGCCTTCTCCTCGCTGGGTTGATTGTAATCCCACCAGCCCTTCGGGCGTGAGTGGTTTAGCGAGCTTCCTCTGTCCTCAACCCCCCAACCCCCCTTTTTCCCCTACCCCCTCCCCCTGGGCCTGGAGAGGGAGTCCCGCGGGTGGCCACGGGGGTCTTTTTCGACGCCTGGGAGGGCCAAAAAACGACGACCCTCACGAGGATTCTGGCCCCGACGGGGGGATAGAGAAAAACATCTCCTCTTCTGTGAAGCCAAAATCATTGATTTTACTACGGTCCTGGCCCCATTTTGGCCTTCTGAGGGGCAGCGCTCATTTTCCTGCATAGCCAAATCATTGATTTTACGAAGGTTTTGGGCTCATTTTGTCCTTCTCAGGGGGTCGCGCTCCTTTGCGCTTCTGAGGAGGTCGCAAGAAGCCCCCAAGAGGCCCCAAGATGCCCCCAGGAGGCTCCCAAGAGGCCCCCAAGAGGCTCCCAAGAGGCCCCCAAGAGGCCCCCAGAGGCTCCCAACAGGCCCCCAAGAGGCTCCCACGAGGCCCCCAGAGGCCCCCAGAGGCTCCCAAGAGGCCCCCAAGAGGCCCCCAAGAGGCGCCCAAGAGGCCCCAACAGGCCCCCAAGAGGCTCCCAAGAGGCCCCACGAGCCCAAACGACTCACACCAGGACGAGGGGCCCGAACGACTCACACCACGAAGACCCGAAACGACTCACACCACACAGAGGTTCCCGAACGACTTACACCAGGACGAGGCGCCCGAACGACTCACACCACGAGAAGCCCGAACGACTCACACCACGACGCGGGCCTCGAACGACTCACACCACGAGGAGCCCGAACGACTCACACCAGGAGGAGGGGCAGCGCTCATACAAGCCACCACGAGGAGCCCGAACGACTCACACCACAACAAGGGCCCCGAACGACTCACACCGCGAGGAGCCCGAACGAGTCACACCAGGAGGAGGGACCCGAACGACTCACACCAGGACGAGGGCCCGAACAACTCACACCACGAGAAGCCCGAACGACTCACACCAGGACGAAGAGCCCGAACGACTCACACCACGAAGAGCCCGAACGACTCACACCAGGAAGAAGGGCCCGAACGACTCATACCAGGACGAGAAACCCCAAACGACTCAAACCACGAGGCGCGCTTTCTCTCCCTCCTCCTCCGCCTCGTCCTTCTCCCGCTCCCCCCACAAGGAGGATGTACAAGGAGGCGGGAGGAAGGAGTAACAGGAAGAGGCCCCAAGATGTCCCCAGGAGGCTCCCAAGAGGCCTCCAAGAGGCCCCCCAAAGGCCCCCGGAGGCTCCCAACAGGCTCCCAAGAGGCCCCCACGAGGCCCCCAGAGCCCCCAAGAGGCTCCCAAGAGGCTGCCAAGAGCTCCCCAAGAGGCCCCGAAGAGGCCCCAAGAGGCCCCCAAGAGGCCCCCAAGAGGCCCCACGAGAAGCCCGAACGACTCACACCAGGACGAAGAGCCCGAACGACTCACACCATGAAGAGCCCGAGCGACTCACACCAGGAAGAAGGGCTCGAACGACTCACACCAGGACGAGAAACCCCGAACGACTCAAATCACGAGGAGCGCTTTCTCTCCCTCCTCCTCCGCCTCGTCCTTCTCCCGCTCCCCCCACAAGGAGGATGTACAAGGAGGCGGGAGGAAGGAGGAACAGGGGAGATATGCGGGGCCAAGCGGACACACGCCTGAAAAACACGACTGTCGGCATGCTTCGCGAGAGTTGCTGCTGTGAGATGGGTTGGTGGGGATACGCGAAGCGTAAAGAATTTTACTAGTAGGAGCACGAGCAGGAAGAGGTGAATAATAATGGTGGGAGACGGAAGAGAGAAGAGGATGACACCAGGATCGATTTTGAAAATAAAACGGATTCGGGGCCTTATGTTTTTTAGTTGCAAGCACAATTTCTTTTTAATCGTTTTCAGGAGCGCATGGAAGGGGGGTCCATGGTGGGGCCCCGCGGGGGACAAACACCCGGAGATAGGAGATACAAAAAGTTCGGCCCCTGGGGGGGAGGGCAGAAGGCAGAGAAAGAGAAAAGCAGCTCATGATTGCGGAAGCTCGTGATTGCGGAAGCTGGTGTGGTGAGACCACCATGGCCATGCTCAGCGTTTTTGACGCTGAAGGTAATCAGCATGATATGATAGCAACTTCGATCCCCGCAACTTTCCCGTGGATTAGAAAGTTCGGCCTCCGCGCCTTCCTCCACAAGTAAATCCTACTGGCCGGAGATAGAAAACATTCGGGGGGTTAAGGGGGGGGGGTACTTTATTATCGCCCGTCGGCGGTTATGCTCCCTTCGATGGCCTGGTTTGGGAGAAGGGTGCCCCGTCGTGGCCCCGCTCCCCGACCCGCCCAGTGCGAGCTGGGCTGCTGAGCCCCTATGGGTACGTATGTCTCTGCTCGACCTCTCTGGTTGAATTGTGCTGGCGGTGCGAGCCAGAGGCTCCGGCTCTGGAGCCACTGTGCGTGCAATGTTCACCCCCACTCATGCTGCTGCTCCTCGCCGTCTGCCTCTCGCCGAGATGAGCCGGCTTGATCCAAGATTATCGAGCCTCAGGCACCGACGCCGAATATGAGGTCAGGCGTGCCTGATCTCCACATGCCTCGCGGGAAGGCGTCGCAGGCTGTGGTAACATGGAAGCGCCCTGCTGCACGCAGCGTCTGACTATCATCATTGATAATGAGCAGCATCATCAGCAGCAGCATCAGCAACAACATCATAATTATCATCACCACCATCGATCATCGATCATAGATCATAATCCCCATCCGCATCGTCAGCATCATCGTCCTCATCACATTCGCCATAGCCAATCATCACCATTGTCATCGTCGCCGTAATCACCACCACCACCATCATCCTCTTCACCACCAACATCACCATTGGGTGGACTGGTGGTGATACGCGAAGCGATCATCAGGAACTGACTAATGATCGGTATCCTTCCCACCTTGACTGGCAGAATAAGGCCTCTTGTGGGCTCCACAGAGACATGGAGGAACACAAGACCCAGGAGTCATCTGATGGCCCAAGATGGCATTCTGGGTTGGATGCTCACCCGATCAGCGCTAATGTCGACATGGATGCTCGCTTTTGCTGGATACAAGCGCGCCATAGTCCCACACCGAGGAGCGATACAAGATAGCATCTACCTCAAGGGTTGGCCACACGCCCACTCTGACTGCACTTAGAGATATGACCTCAAAGATGGCTGACAAACTCTGTGGAGGCCAGGGGGCTACAAGCTTGAATGTCAAGTTTGCACCTGCTTTCCACAGCGCTCACATCGCCCCAAACTCCACCGTGCTGGCAGCCGTCTCAGAAGCCCTGAGGGAAGAACGTGGCCTCCTACTTACGAATTTCGCGCACGCGTATTTTCGCAGCCGCGCCGAATTCAGGAAACAGACTGCGCCGAATTCAGGAAACAGACCGGGTGCGCTCTCAAGTGCCCGGCTCAAGCCGGAGGAGCGGGGGTCTGACGAGAGGGGGAAGCATCAGGGTGCCAGCGTTCTCGAGGGTCACAGAAATCGTGTGGTGGCGGATCGTATTGCGACCTCGGAATGCTCCGCGGTCCGTCACCGCACAGTTCTGGGACCTCGGAAGTCCCAATCGTCCGAGACGTTCTGAACCGAGTCGAGAATCCGCGCGATGACCCAGAATCCCAACTGACTCACCACACGGTGTGGTCATCACACCGTTCAAGGATCCCCGATGCTCGCCTGGGGGCGGGCGACAACGCTGGAATACCCCGCTCATGATTCTTCCGCTGACCTCCGATGTGGCTCCCTGCTCCCCTCCGCCCGCCAGCCCCCTGCAACTGCTCGAAAGTGCTAGAGCGCTTTGACCAGCGGGCTGGTCGGGAATATGCTGTCACCAGAGCTCTCTGGCACTGGCTCCGTCACCGCCAGTGTCCTGTGGCGGTTGTGGGTGCTGGGGCGATGATGACACGGGCGATCGACGTTCTTAGAGGGGCAAGCGAACCTACCTCGCTTTTGACCACCCTGGCTTCCAACCGGGAACCAAGCGATGCTAAACTACCCGTTGGGTGGCCCGCAACGGTCAGGCTGCTTGACGAGGAAACGCATGGTATGACCTGGTTTTGTCTGGAAGCGAACGCGGGGTAGGTAATTCACACTCTGGGTTCTACCTATGACCCTGCTCAGGCCACAGGGGCATGGACAAAAATCAAACCTCTGCACGCCACGTTTTTTTTTTCTGGACGCCAGAGACGGGGGTTAGCAGCAGCGGCATGCATCAAACGCCGATCCCCGATGACGACGATGACGACAACGATGATGATGATGCTGATGCTGATGATGATGATGATGATGCTGATGATGATGATGATGATGATGCTGCTGCTGATGATGATGAGTATGGCGGTGATGACTATGATGACCATGACCACGACCACGACCATGATGATGGTGATGCTGATGATGATGCTGCTGATGATGCCCACCGCACGAGACTACATTACCTCTGGGTGCCCCCGCCAAGCGATCGCGATCGGTCGCGGAGTGGGCGAGGCGATCGTAGCGGATGCTGCTGATGATGATGACGGTGATGCTGATGATGGCGGGCGACGGGAAGCGGGGGCAGCGGACAAAGAGCAGACGTCAGGGATGCGGCGGAGCTGCGCGCCGACCACGGACCAGCCCGAATGTTCCACAGCAGCCCGCGACAACGAGCAGAGGCTGCCCGCCCGCCGGTCGCCCGTGCTGGTCGAACGAAGAGCTGGGGTTCAGTAGTGGAGGGGTAGCAGAAAGCAGCAAATCCTCCTCCTCCTCCTCCCCCTCCTCCTCCCGCCTCATCTATATATATATATATAGAGAGAGGGTAAAATCCACCCCCATCATTCAACACCCCGACAAGCGAGGCCGTTTAGGAAACGCACCCAGAGAAAGAATCGAACGCGGCAGGGCTGTTTAGTGAGTGCCCAAGGCCGTTGAACAAACGCCGATTATCGAGTCCGGGTGGTTCGTCTTTTCTTGAGTTAGCGAATCAGCCCATCTAATCCCACCAGCACTTTGGGCTAAGGCGGACTAACGAGTTGCCTCGTTCCTCTTCCAAAGCCCTCTTCCCCTCGGGGAGGGGCCCCCTCCCCCTCCCCTCCCTCAGGGTTGTTGGAGGGGTTCGCGAGTTGGCAGGGGGGCCCTCTTTCCCCCAAGATGGCTCCAAAAGGGCCTCCGATGCTCCACGACACCTCCAAGGCGGCTCAAGATAACCGAATCGATGGCCCAAAGAGGCCCTCCAGGGCCACCCCCTTGCTCCCAGAGATTTCTTTGTTTACCCTGGCTGCCCGCTTTGTTTCATGTGTCTCTTCGCGCCGTTTCCCATAGGGCAGGGTTGTTTGATGGGCTGGTGGGGATAACTTTTTTCCTCGCGGGCGCGAGCGGAAGCGCAAGCGCCGAGTTGAAGGGTCCGGGCCACGGGCCGATCTAATTTACACGCGCGGGCGAGGCCGCCTACGGCATGAGGGGAGGAGCTACGCGCAAGCCTGAAAGCACAACGACCGAGCGCGGACTCAAAGCTGGTGGGGATGACGCGAAGCGTGAAGAATTCGCGGGTCTCCCTGACGCCTCCCGGCGCCGCAGGCGCACATGTATCGAGGAGCGCCCAGCGGCGGGGCCGAAGCTAGCTGCCATGCAGCAGATGCCGTACTCCCCCTTCGTTCGTCGAAACGTGGCCACAAGAGCGCTGCTCAAGAACACGAGCCCCGTCGCCGCGAGACCAATACCACAAACGAATGAAACATTCCACGAGACGGAGCCTAGGCACGAAGAGGACACGAGGGTGCCCCGCAATAGCATTGGCGCTTCTCTACCCTCGTGCCAGCTGTACTCCCCCTCTCTCGTCTGGCCCGAGTGGTAACCATGTGCTCCTGAGAATACCATTAAGTCGGGCGAGTCCCCCTACAGGCCGATTTTGGACGAAACATTTAAAACAATGCATTAAACATACTCGAAAATGGTAAAAAAGTAGTCCCCAGACTATTTTTTGACCGTTTTTGAATATTCCCCCTGTAGAGGGACAGGCCCGACTTAAGAATACCACCCGGGGGGCTAATCAACATCGGGCTCCTGGGGGGAGGAGAAACGATTTGTCCCAGCAATCTCGTACGTGGGATGCATGACGAGGGGCGAGAAGGCCGCCGTCATAGTACAGGACGAGTAACGATGTAGGACGAGAGGATGCACAACGAGGGCGGAGGACTCGTCGCCGTCGTCGTCGTCGGGTCCGAGCGCCCCTTGCGCCAAACCAAGCCCGTCAAAGCCCGGCGCCCCCGAAGAAAACGCGGCCGCCGAGAGGCGCGGAGGGACCAGCGCGCGAATCCGAGGGGAGCCCTCGGAGGCGAGCGCGTGGGGGCGTGGGGAGGAGGAGGAGGAGGAGGAGGAGGAGGAGGAGGAGGAGGAACCCTGGCCCGCTGGTGGGGGAACTAAATGCTGCCGCTACCGCGTCTCTTATATAATTAGGTCAAGAATTCCTCCCCCAGAACAACCACACCGACGAGCGAAGCCGCTTCGCAGACGAACCCACGCAAGGAGTCGAACAGGGCAGGGCTGTTTAATAAACGCCCAGGGCCGTTGAGCAAACGTCGATTATCGGGTCCGGGGGGTCTTCCGTTCCTTGACTTAGGTCGGGCATGTCCCCCGACCTCTCCCGGTGCGTTCTGACCAGAATGTCGAGGCGAGTCCAGCGGTGGCGACGCGGGCCTCCCAGGAGGCCTAAAACGGGGGAAAGACGAGGGATGGGTAGTGGTATGGGTACGACGAGTTTCTCAATAAGCGTCGGGGGGCCGCCACCCCCGCCGAGAGCCCCACATCGACCCCCGTCGCGGTCAGCCACCGCGCGCCGAAGGCGCTCCGTCCCCCGTCGCGGCGCGACGACGAGGCGAAGTTGACCCCCGTCGGGGGGGTACCCCCCACGCTTATCAAAAAACCCAGAGTACCCTTTCCTCCTCTGAGCAGGGCGTGAACAGGCGCGAGAGCAGCTGGGGCAACCACAAAATGACCACACCGCTACACAAGGGCAGCTGTGCTTGCGCTTCTCGCGCTGCGCGCAGCGCGACGGCACCTAAAACGTTTCGCGCTTCGGCGCCCCCACCACCCCCCAAGGGGAGGAGAGGAGGACGAGGAGGATGAGGATGAGGATCTGGAAGGCCTGGAGGTTGACACCGACACCAATGTCGGCGGTGTGCCTCCACCGAGGGAAAGTGCTCCCGATCTCGGGGAAGGTGGTAATATTTTGGCTTCCTAGGTGGCCAGAGTATTACCACCAATACCGGATTCTGGGACCCTCTTCCCCGGCTGAGGCACGCCCGTGTGTTGGTGCTGGTGCCCCTTTCCAGGTCTCCGAGGAGGCACCGCGGACCGCGGACCGCGAGCAGCTCCGCGCCCTCGTGGCGGCTCGTGGCTGAAGGCTAGTTAATTGTAGGGCAGGACGGGAAGGACGAAGGGGTAGCAACGCGGGGGGGAGCGAGTCGTTAGGTCGGGCATGTCCTCCTACAGGCGGATGTTGGAAGACAAGTGGGAAATATTCCAAAAACACTCTCAAACATTCACACAAATAGTGAAAAAAAGGCCCCAGGCAATTTTTGTCAATGTTTGAATCGTCTTCCTGTAGAGGGACATGCCCGACTTGAGCGAGTCGGCTCACGCAGCTGATTTCCCAGGCGCCTCCCAGCGCCAGAAGAGCCAACGTATCGAGGAAAGCGCCCGCCGGGACGTGCCGAAACCAGCGCTGCACGCAGCAGCGCTCGTAACCATCCCTTCTTTTCTGATCCTCCCTTTCAAAGGGGGGATGAAGACAAGGACCCATTACCGCTTGAAGCGGATGGGTCCTTTCTGGGGAGACGAGTTTCATCCTCCTTTTTAAAGGGGGGGCGAAAGTCATCTCCCTGGACCGCTCCCGGACTGTGTGCTGACCGAGGCTTCGCGGCGAATCCGGCCGTGGCGACGATGGAGCAGTAACGGCATATGAAGGTCATGACGTGACCTAGACCCTTTCCCGGGAACGGGTTCAGCCTGAGTACGTTTTTGATGGCCCCGATGCCCGGCGAAGGCCACTGGAAGCCGAAAACAGTGAAAAACCTCACGTCGTGATTTTTGTCACAACGCGACGGGGTCCCGGCAGTCCTTCCCTTTCCTTCCTCCCACGCTTCCTCTCCCCGGATGGCGCGCTGACCGAGGCTTCGAGGCCGGGCCAGCCGTGGCCACGAGGGCGGGGCCACGGCAGATCGTTCTTGTATGGCCCTCCTCTTGATAAAAGGGGGCGGCGGGCCGGCAGGTCCTGGGCTGCGCCCGCCAACTGGCCTGGGGGCTCAGCGGGAAGTCCGCGGCGCCCTGGAGAGCCGGGGAGCCCGGGGCCGACGACAGAAGCAGAACAAACGCCAGAAACATAAACTCTTGGCGCTCCGCGCGGATTTCTCGGATCCGCGCCAGACCCCCCACCCCAGCGCGCGGAGCGCGCCAGGGGCGGCGCCAGAGGCGCCGCCGGGGGGCCCAACGCGGATCCGAGAAACCCGCGCGGAGCACCAAAAGTTCATGTTTATGGCGTTTTCTTCTTCTTCGAGACGAAAAGTCAGGGCTGGACCGAAACGCTGTTTTTCGTTTTGTTTCCGTTTTGTGCTTCGTTTTGCCCTACCTGTTTTCCTGAACCTCCCAGCCAGAACGAGAAACGAAAAACACAGCCGAAGTCCAGCAAAACAGAGCTCAGGTCCAACCCCGCGACAAGTGAAGGGACGGCCGGGGGGGGCCCGCTTCTCTCGTCCTGCCGCGCGGAGGAGGAGGAGCTGGCCCCGGGGGGGGGGTGAGGGGGGAGCGCCGGGGAGCGCCTAAGAAGGAGGGCATGGACGGGTACTGCGACACGGGGGCGGGGGGGGAGGGGAGGGAGGGGGCAGAGGAGCGGAATGGAGCTGGCCCGGGAGGGAGTGAGGGGAGCGCTTGAGAAGGAGGGCGTGGACGGGCACTGCGACGCGGGGGCGGGGGGAGGGGAGGGAGGGGGCAGAGGAGCGGAATGGAGCAGAACGGACTGGAAGGGAGCAGTGCTCATGCGAAATCGAGAGCCACACCTCGGAAGCTCGGATGCGACCGCGAGCAGGAGGGGGGAGGAGGGATGGGCGGAGGAGGGGCGAGGGGGGAGGGCGGAGGAGGGCAGGGCGGATCGCGGGGGGGGGAGGGAGCGGGGGGTACGGGGGGTGGGCGCGGCATGCCGGAGAACCGGACAGAAGGTCCGCAGCCTCCCGGCTGCGCCTGGAAAGCAGACTTCTGAACACCCTGGATGGTGCCCAGACGTCGGCTTCAAGGAGCGTGAGCTTCGATCAACATCGACGTTCTACATCGCGCCGCAGCCATCCGTTGGCCTCCCGATGCCAGAGCTGGGCCTCCCAAGCCCGAAATTGAATCCAGGCTACCCAGAAAGAAAGATTTTTGGTTTCCCGTGCGACGGCACCAATGCAAATGCCAGACGCCCCCTCTGTCACCCCTGCTGGCCCGTCACCAGCCATGAGCGTTCTTCCGATCCCTCATCTCTACAGCCAAAACGCAGAATAAGGACACACGATGAGGATGCAAGGGCCTTGGAAGGCCATTTCGACATCTTTCGAGCGGGGCGCGGCCAGCGAAAGTGGCCAAGGATGAGCCCAAGGGGAAGCATGCAAGGTCAACTTTGGAAAGTCGCTAATCCTTACTGTGCGGGTTGACTGCTGCAGGAGACCCGAGGATCGAATCGATAAGTCGGATCGGCGATCGAAATGAATCGGATCGGCGGAAATCGGCAGCCGAGCCGACAGAAGTCGAATCGGCGGAAATCGGCAGGCTCGTACGCCTCCAATGAGACATCAGAGCCCAACTCGGAATCCAGAATCGAGCCGAATCGAAATTGAAAGCCATCGAAGTAGGATCGAATCGAACCAGAGGGAGGGGGCCCCGCTGGCCGCCTCAGCGGCGGCTGCCTTCACGACGACGACGGCGACGACGACGAGGATGAGGACGACGACGACGACGGCGACGACGACGACGACGACCACGGCGACGACGATGAGGACGACGAGGACGAGGACGACGACGACGAACCCCTCGCGCCGCCCCCTTGCTTAGGTGGCCAGGCATGGGAGCCTCGGGCAGTCGTACGAGCGCCTAATTCGTCAGCGAGAGGTCGTGGCCCCTCACGGAGCCCACTGGATCCGACGACCAGATCCCGCCTGCGCTCCCACCAAATCCTACAACAAAGCCCAGTAACATCCAACGGGGGCGCTCCCCAAATCGCACAACAGCTCATGAAGTTATCACATTTGAGAAGCTCCTTGGGCCGAACAGAGGCTCCCATGCAGAAGAAAAAGGAGGAGGAGGAGAAGCAGGAGCAGGAGGAGGGAGGAGGAGGAGGAGGAGGAGGAGGAGGAGGAGGAGGAGGAGGAGGAGGAGGAGGAGGAGAGGAGGAGGAGGAGGAGGAGGAGGAGGAGGAGGAGGAGGAGGAGCAGGGAAGGAGGAGGAGGAGGGAGGAGGAGGAGGAGGAGGATAGGAGGAGGAGGAGGAGGAGGAGGAGGAGGAGGAGGAGGAGGAGGAGGAGGAGGAGGAGGAGGAGGAGGAGGAGGAGGCGGAGGAGCAGGAGGTGGAGGAGGAGCTTGGACAAACCCTGCGCGCGCCGCAAAAGCACAGGGGGAGTGGAGTGGGCTCCGATCGGGATAAGCAACTCTTGCCGGAGGCCCGCCCGGACGCGGCCCTGGGACCCCCCGACCATCCTGCATTCTCCAGGGCGCAGAAGAACGACATAAACATAAGAGCTCGGAGATCCGCGCGGAGTTCTCGGATCGGACGCTGGACCCCCCTCCCAGGCGCGCGGAAAACGCCAAGGGCGGCGCCGGAGGCGCCGCCAGGGGGGCTCAGCGCGGGTCCGAGAAATCCGCGCGGACCTCCGAGTTCTTATGTTCATGTCATTCTTCGTTCCCCTGATCCTGCAGACTCCAGGGCGCAGCATCCAGCCGTGGCGACGGCAAGGGAGAGTGCAGGGGACAGAAGCACGACTGATTGACAGACGGGGAATCCTCGGGGATCGTCTGACCCGGGTCAATCCAGACCCGGGTCAGCCAGGCCTTGCAGGATCCTGCAAGACCCTGCACCCAAACCATGGTCAACGCGAAGGACCATGCAAAATCCTGCACCCAAACCCGTGTCAATGCGACCCTGGCCCTGCAGGATCCTGCAAGATCTGGCGCTCTGGCTGACCCCCGTTTGCATTGACCCCCGTCTCGAGGCTGCCGAAGTCCCGAGAGAGGCCAGGACCGGGACACAGTCCGACCGGGACAGATCCTCGACCTCTGCGATCCCGCGGCTCTGCAGGATGTGCCGGGCGCCACGGCCGCTGCAGCGCGCTCCAGAACGCTCCAAGAGCGCTCTGGAACGACTCCTCTGAAGGGGCCCTGGGACACACAAACAACTAGACACAAATAACACTATTCCACATATTATCCCATATTTTCTTGGTTCTCGTCTTCCCCCCCACTTCCCATATTTTCCAATTTTTTCGTGGGGGTCGACGATCAATCGTGCCTGTGTTTTTTCCCCTCCTGACCATCCCCGTCCCAGCCCCGCCCGAAATCCCGAACTCTGAGCATCGTTTGCCCGATCCCGATCCCTTCCAGCGTTGGCTGGGCCCCACTGGCCGGTCTACCCCGCTGGATGGGGATATGGGTTGCTCTCTTCGGGCTTCGAGGGGAATATCCTCAACTGAGGTGGTGAGACGGGGGGGGGCTCCAGATGTGGATGGGCCTAAGTCGAGCCTGTCCCTCTACAGGAGGAATGTTCAAAAATAGTAAAACAAACAAATAGTCTGGGGACGATCTCTGGACTAGTTTGGAGCATATGGGGGGTACTTTTTGTTCGAGAACTCTTTGTTTTTCGCCCAAAATCCCTCTGTATGGGGGACACGCCCGACTGAAGGATGGGCACGGGGATGGGGATCGGTGCAACGATGCTGACCGAAATCCCGAGCTCGGGCCGCACGGGACGGCCACCGCGGAGGAGCGCAGGGTCCGCAGAGTCGGGGATGGACAGACCTCCCTTTAGTAGAACGTGGTTCAGTGAAAGCGACCTCGGGCCAAAAAACCTGGCGGGCGCGAGCCTAAAAAATGACGGCCGCGGCACCCTCTCGAGAGCCGAAAATGGACAATTCACTAATCGACGTGTCAGGGTAGGAGGTCTGTCCCCTTCTGAACCCAGCAGCGGTGTGCACGCCAGGCCCTCCTGGTTCGGCGAGGAGGCCGTACACAGGATTCGGCCTGACCCAAGGAACGAAAAAAATAGGAGTGAAGCCCCTGGTTTCCAGGCAAGTCCAGGAAGCCCGAAGGGACACCAGGGGGACTCGCCGCCAAGAAGGCAGCGGGACGCATGCAAGCCAAAGGAACGACCGAGGCCTGTGCACCCCCGAGGGAGAGGCGCCCGAGAGCCGCCCCGCCCCGCGGGAGGGGCCTCCGGGTCCGAGGCCGCGCACGCGGCGGTCCTGGAGCGGGTTGTGGGCGGGGGGGAGGGCGGCGCGGAGGACGGAGGGCCACGGCCCGCGCTGTGTGCAGTCTCGTTCCACCGATCCCCAGCCCCAGCCCCGTCTCCCCATCCAGACCCCCTGAGGAGGGGGGAGGGGGAGGAGCACCATCCTCAGTATCGTCGCCCATCCCCATCCAGACCCCCACCATCCCATCCCTCCAGCTGGGGATGTGCCCTTCAAGATCTGACAGGAGCTGCCCGTATCCGTATCTTTCTTTGGGGGGGGAGATGGAGCCGTGGCAATGTCTCATGACACAGTCTGCCGCGCCTTCGCGCCCAGTCGGCACATCGGAGCCAAATGAGTCCAACTGCTATGGCCAAGGCGGTTCGCTTTGCTCAAGTCGCTGCCCGTATCCGTATCTAGGGGGGTAAGCAGGCCAATTGGGCCCAGGCCACGCGAATGGGGATGGGGATCGGTTAAAAGATGCTCATGTGTGCCGTGTGCATACAGGGCGTTATCCGACGAAGCGACTTCCAGGGTAGGGCGCACATGTGGTTTTCATCGAAAGGGAACAGAGGAACAGAGAAGAGAGGTATCGCAATCGGCTCATGAGCCTGGCGTGACCGCAAGTATGGTTTAACTTGCTATAAGGAGAGGCGCCTGCCACCATGAGAGCCATTATGCGCAAAGCAACTCACAGCAAAGCGAAGCAATGCCATGCACCGCAGGACGAAGCAGTTCAACCAGAGGCAGCACAATGCAAAGACATGCGACGCAACGAATGGCAACGCACATCAATGCAAACCCATGCAGCGCAAGGCTACCCCAAAACTGTGCAGGGCACTGCGATACTGCCGTGCCATGCAGCGCAACGAGATAGAATGTCATGCAGCGCAGTGGAACGCAAAACCAAGCACCGAAGACCGAAGCAACGCACTGGAGCTCTCAGATGTAAAGACGTGCAGCGCACAACCGCCGCAATGGCGATCGGCATCACGGCCCTTGCGCCAAATCGGCCCCCTTCGCGGGGATCTCGGGGCCCTGGGAGGCCGCGAGAGCGGCAAGCATCGCATCGGACCATCGGGTCGAATCGGAACGCACGTCTGGTCGGGCTGCAGTCGGTTCGGAGTCGGCATCGGATCGGATCGGTCGCGCCAGGAAGCAAAACAACGCTGCGTAAGCGTCGGGCAGCACCGGATCGCTGAGATATCAAAACCGCATCGGGTCGAGCTGGCCGAAATCGATATCGAAGCGGATCGATCAGATCCGAATGGGCCCTGGGCCGTGGGCACACGCGCAGGCATCCACACGAGCGCCGTGTTTAGGCCCCTGGTGCCCCACGGCCAACGAAAGTATAATAAAACAGCGGCACACACACAGAAACTTTCGACTGTCCGCGCAGATTTCTTGGGTCGGCGCTGGACGCCCCTCCCTGGCGCGCGGAGCGCGCCAGGGGCGGCGCCAGGGGCGACGCCAGGTGGGTCCAACGCAAATCCTAAAGATCCGCGCGGACTGTCGAGGGTGAATGCTCATGTGCTTATGCCCTTTCCTTCTTCGAGGAGGAGGACATCGGGCAACGAAATCTGCACATATCCAGCGCTCCCTGTCCAGGTCAATCCTGAACCCAGCGGCGGCGTATGCGCAGCGCCCTCCTTGCTTGGCCAGGAGGGCGTACACACAGCTCCTGGATCCAGAATGGGCCTGGCCAGGGAGCAGTGGCTATGTACAGCCGAAGATATGCTCAAGAACAATATCATTCAAGCAACCTGGGCCAGCTTCCCGGAAGTTTCTTCAAACAAACCTGGGCCAACTTCTGTTGTTCACGCTGGAGGGGGCAAACGTACTCAATTCAGCGGCGGACCGTCTCGCATTCCTATAGACCTGCCCCAACATTTAGCGACGATCAAGAACGGGTCTTACGCGAGATGACACAACGACTTTACGCTGCGGCTTGCGCGGGCTGCCAACGCGGCACGTTACATGGGAGACGAGGACGCTTACGTGCGACATTACGCGGGCAACTTACGCGCCAATGTCGGCAACGACGACCCCATTCTCTTTCGTCGCTCAATTGTTCTTAAAATAAAAAGGACGTTCGAATTACCGACGTATTCTGACAAGATAGCATCAGTCAGAAAGGTTCTGAGAACATGTCGCTTGTAAGCCACACAAGGCTCGTAGAACATGCTGTGAAGGGCCTGGAGGCAAGCCAAGACGCTTCGCCGGTGCTCGGAGCTGTTGCCCTCCGAGCGGCATCCCACTGTGGCGCAGGCAAGGGAACAATATTGGAACACAAACAAACGGTATATTGCCATCCGCGCCAGAAGCGGCGCCGGAGGCGCCGCCGGGGGGTCCAGCGCGGATCCAAGAAATCCGCGCGGTGCGCAAACAGCTTATGTGTATGGCGTTCTCTTCCCTGGCCATCGCTCGGACGCCCATTTCCTGTGCTTTGTTCGGTTTCGTGCGTGTTTTTTCGCGAAACGGTAAAGGATGCTCCTCGATGGTCCTCGCCGAAGGAAAGATGCACACGTCCGAGCGATGCCCAGTTCCTCTTCGACGATCAGCATGGAGTCGGGAGATCGAACGAGATCGGAAGGCGCGTCGGATCGGACCGAGATCGCATCGGATCGGCCGCGCGCGCCAGGCAAGAAGCGGGCCAGTGTCTTCGGAGCATCGGAATCACATCGGATCGGGCCAGGCAGAATCGACATCGAATCTGGCGGATTCGAACAGACTGGACCCTGGAACACGGGGGCAAGAACAAAATGCAGGAATAATCAACTTCGGACGGTCCGCGCGGCGTTCTTGAATCTGATCTGGGCCCCTCTCCGTGGCCCGCGGAGCACGCCAGGGGCGGCGCAGGAGGCGCCGCCAGGGGGGCCCAGCGCAGATCCGGGAAGTCCGCGCGGAGCGCCGACGGTTCATGCTTGTGCCTTCTTCAGTCTTCGAGGCAAGCGGTCCCGCACATGCTGGGGAAGAACAACTTCGGCGCTGGACAAACCTCCCTTTAATAGACCTCCCCTTAGTGAAAACGGCCTGGGACCGAAACCGACGGACCTGGCCCCGCAAAAAGGACGGCCGCGACGCCCTCTCGCGAACCGAAAACGGACAATTCCGTAATCGACGTGTCAGGGCAGGAGGTCTGTCCACCCCCGAAAAATATGGGGAATACAGGGGAAGAACAAATGGCATCAAGATACACTTTGGACGGCCCGCGCGGACTTCTTGAATCCGAGCTGGGCCCCTCTGCCTGGCTCACGGAGCGCGCCAGGGGCTGCGTTCATGCCGCTGGCTGCCATCGCTCGGACGTCCATTCCCTGTGTTTTTTTCGGTTTCGTGCGTGTTTTTTTCGCCAAATGATCAAGGATGCTCCTCGATGGTCTTCGCCGAGAAAAAATGCACACTTCCGAGCGATGCCAGGGCTTTTAGCCTTCAAGGCACGCGGTCCCGCACATGCTGGACGCCAAAGTGAGGGTGACGCCGGTGACGCGGATGCCGTCGAGGCCCAGCGCCTTCCGGTCCCCGTCGCCCGGCTCCCCGACGGCGCTTCCTGCCGGAGCGGCCCCAAGGCGAGCCATGGAGGGAAGGAGGGGAGACGACGACAGCGGCAGTCACAACTGCAGCCACGGCGCCATCTTTCGGCGGCGAGCGAGGGGGGAAGCGAGAAGCAGCAGGCCTTCTCAGAAGGCGGCGGGGCTTCTCAGAAGCCCTTTGGCCTTCTAAGACATGTTCTGTCGGGGAGCTGCTGACCCGGGTCAATCCAGACCCGGGTCAATCAAACCTTGCAGAATCCTGCAAAATCCTACATCCAAGCCCGGGTTAATGCGAGGGATCCAGCAAGATCCTGCAGGATCCTGCACCCAAACCCGGGTCAGTGCGACCCTGGCCTCTGCAGGATCCTATAAGATCGGGCGCTCTGGCTGACCCCCGTTTGCATTGACCCACGTCTCTTGAGCCCCAATTCTGAACACTTCTCAGAAGGCTGGGGGATCCCCGAGCCTTCTGAGAGGGCCTCCTCCTTCTCGCTTCCCCCCCCCCGCTCGCCGCCGATTCTAGGGGCAGCCGCCAAGAAGTTCCTGCTCGGTGCGCCCCCCCCGAGGGAAAGCATGCAGCATGCTAGGAGGAGGAGGAGGCGGAGGAGGAGGAGGAGGCGGAGGAGGCGGAGGAGGAGGAGGCGGAGGAGGAGGAGGTGGCACGGATTCTGATGGGGATCGGGAGTAAGAAGCACCACAAGCCCGTTCTGCGACCCGCCCGCTCCCACTCAGCCCCTCCACGCCGGCTCGGCGCCTGGGAGAGCGGCAGAGGCAAGGGCAGCACTCGATGCTCCGCGTGCCCGGCAGGAGCGCCCGACAATATGGCAAGGCGTGGGCTTCCAGAGGACGCCGTGGCCTGGCCGCGCCTCGCGTTCAAGGCAGACATGGGCGCTGAGGATAAAGAGCAAGCCCCCCCCCGATCCCCCTACCCTTCGGTCTGGATGAAGGGAAGAAAAGCAGGTCAAATATAGCCACACATATCATGAAAGAAAACGTCCCCAGACTATTGTTGGTCTATTTTCGAACGTTCCTCCTGTAGAGGGACATGCCCGACTCAGCCCTGCCCTCCCCTGTCGTGGCGGACGCCCGGGTGATGTGCGGGCGCGCCCGCCTGGATGCATCCCGGATTTGCCTGCTGGCGACCCATCTCATCCCCCTTACAGTCGGGGCGTTGACCTGAAGGAACCCCAAATAAGGAACGAGGCCCCTTTTTCCCATAAGCCCATAAGTTCAACCTCGATTTCCCGTGGAAAACCTCAGGAAAGCCCGAGGCAAGCTTTGAAACATTCAAGGAACACCGAGCCCCTCCCCAACGAAAAGGGTTCCTTCTTCAGCGCCCCGACTGTATCCCGCCTCATCCAGAAGAAGAGAAGTCTTAATGTTAGAGGCTCGGACATGGGCCATGGGCACCAAACACCAACACAGGGGGTTGCCTCCACTGGGGGGGAGATGATCCCAGATTCTGGTGTTGGCGGTACTGTTTCGGCCATCTAGGAAGCCCGAACACTGACACCATCACCGAGATCGGGATCATCTTCCCTCGGTGGAGGCACACCGCCGATATTGGTGTTGGTATCAACCTCTAGGCTTATGTTGTTCCCATCGTACTGAAGGGTCACATCCCAGAAGTAATTTCGAGCACCCGAAAAAGTGTCGACACAATGTCGAAACAGTGTCGGACGAGAGTCACCTGGGGCCCGGCACGTGAAGACCCTCGAGTTTCGGTGCCTTCTGGTGCTCGAAATTCCTTCTGGTGGTCAAAGCTAAAGTAGGCTGGGACATCGCAACTCTGGGCCTCGGAGAATTCACATGAGCTTTCGGAGCTCCGCGCGGATGGCTCGGATCGGCGCTGGAATCCCCTCTCTAGGGCGCGAACAAACCTACCTCGCTTTTGACCACCCTCGCTTCCAAGAGATACCAAGCGACGCCAAACTACGGCCTGCGCTGGTCAGGCCGCTTGACGAGGAGGCGCGTGGTATGACTTGGTTTTGCCTGGAAGCGAAAACGGGGTAGGTAATTCACGCTCTGATTCCCTGGCGCGCGGAGTTCCGGAGGCGGTGCCGGAGGTGCCGCAGGGCGGGCCCCGTCGCCGATCCCAGACACCTGCGCGGACCTCCGACAAGAACAACCGCGACGGGTCTTTGGTATCGGCGGTGGGCAACCCTGGAGGCCCAGGGGAGGCCCGAGCACCAGAAACCTCCCGCAGGAGATCCAACCCTGAGACCCCAGGACGTCCATGGGCTCTTGGCGTGGGAGCGCCACGCCCCCCACCGCAGAGGCATCGCGTCGCAGCCCAAGAAACCCAGGGCGCCCTGGAGGCGACCAGGGTACTCCTTGGCATGGGCCCTCGGCGGTGGGCAACCCTCCCTGTAGTAAACCTCCCCTTAGTGAAAACGGCCTGGGACCGAAACCGAGGGACCTGGCCCCGCAAAAAGGACGGCCGCGACGCCCTCTCGCGAACCGAACACGGCCAATTCCTTAATCGACGTGTTCGGGTAGGAGGTCTATCCACCTCCGATAGTAGCCATCCTCCCCCCAATGCTGGGAAAATTCGCCGGCCCAAGGGGCCAGAGGCGTGCTAAGATCTCTGGTAACTGGTTAACAATATTTCCAGTTCGCGCACGCGGAGCGGCCCCTGGGGGTCCCCGGACGAAAAGTACCCCGGCCAGGTCTCCAGAGCGCTCCAAGGGAGGGCCATTTTTCGACACCCCTCACGAGGATCGTGGCCTCCGAGGGGGGAGCCGAAATCGACTACCCCCCCTCCCGCCCCAAGAGGCCCCCAAGAGCCCCCCAAGAGGCCCTGGGGGCCCCCAAGACGCCGCCAAGGCCCCAAGAGACTCCCAAGAGGTCCCCAAAAGGCCCACAAGAGGGCTCCAGGGCCGGCGGAATGAGCGAAACGATTATGATAATAATTTCCGGGGGGCGAGTCGCAGGATTGGGACACCCAACACAATCTGAAAAATCGTTGCAGTGGAGGCCCGACCACAAGAAACCTTCCACAAGAAACCCAACCCTGAGACCCGAGGGCGTCCATTGATTTCTGGTGTGGGAACGTGACGCTACAGACAAACCGTCGAAACCGAAGAAACCCAGGGTACCCTGGACACAAGCAGGGCGTTTCTTGGCATAGGCCTCCGCTGTACTCCGCCGCCGCCGCCGTCGTCGTTGTCGCCGCCGTCGTCTCCATCGTCGTGAGGATCAGGAGGGTAAGAAAAGATGAGGAATAGTTATAGGCTTATGCCGATGTTTCTTCTTCGACTGCTAGCGTAGCGGCCCACCTCCCTCCCTCCTCCGCCTCATCCCTGCTCCTGGGCGGGCTGTGCAGAAGCAGCGCGGAGCGCGCCATGTCCGGGAGGTCCCCAGCGTCGATCCGAAGAAACCGCGCGGACCTCCGAAAGCTTCTGCTTCTGAATCGGCGGCCACCGAGGAGGGAAGTGCGAAGGACAAGGCCTGCTCAGCAGGCAGCGGGTCTTCTCAGAAGCACTCCGGCCTTCTGAAAGATGTCCTGCGTCTTCGGGAGAGGCCTACACAACTTCTCAGAAGGCCGCGGGGCTTCCAGGCCTTCTGAGAAGAACGCCGCCCGCCCCTTCTCACCCCCCCCCCCCCCTCCCCCCGCTAGCCGCCGAAGTGCTAAGAACTGGAAGTGCATCACCGAATTCGCACAACACCCAAATCCACAAGCCACCACGCTTGCAGCGGTTGATGTGGTTCAGGCCCTCGCTAGTTTGGTTACAGCAAACAAGGCTGCCCCCTGACGTATACCCAGCTTGTCTTCATTTTGTTTGCCATGCCCTACGTTTTTGATTTTCATAAAAGAGGGTGGCGCCAAAAAAAAACATTTTCGGAGGGACCCTCCACGGATTCCGCCCTCCTCCCCCGCTCCCGTGGTAGTCTAAGAAAAGACCTAGAAGGCCAAGATGGCCCCCGATGGACTCCAAAACAATCAAGACTGCTTCCAAGTTGTACCAGCTGGCCCTACAGCCAACCCGTATAATAAGGATGCGTGGTAAGGATGCAAGGGCCTTGGAGGGCCATGTCGACACTTTGCGGGCCCACGGATGGGCCGAAGGGGGGGGTGCAAGGGTAGCCTTGGAAAGTTGCTCGTCCTTACTATGCGGGTTGACTGTGTCTGCCCTCAACGGCGGCCCCAGACGGCCTCCAAGACGGCCACCATGGCCCCAAGACGGACCAAGAGGTCCCCAAGACGCCCCAAGAGGCGTCTGAGAGGTCTCCCAGAAGGGCCTGGCCATGCCAAATCACTGAACGTCCTTAGGGTGTGAAACATTTGGGCAGTGGAGCCTCGAGTTTACGGACACCTAAGACGGCGCGCTAGAGTCCTCCGAGGTGGGCCCAATATGACCCAAGATCACCCCAAGAGGGCCCCAGAACGGCCCAGGACGAATCCAAGATGGCCAAAACAGCTCCCAATATGGAATATGGCCCCCAAGACGGTCAGGACGTCCTCCAAGTCAGACGAACTGCCACGACGACCACGATGGCCCCAAGATCGATCACGATGGCTCCAAGGCGGACCACGAGACCCCAAAAACGCTCCAAGATGCCTCCAGTCGGAAACCCAGGACGGACCGAAGATTGTAATACCAGCGGTTGTCCTTCAGTGGCTGAAACATCTTAGCGTTGGCGCTCAAGAGACCATTGAGGCCCCGAGGGCGGCCCAAGATATACTACTCACGGCGGCCAAAGAGATCCCCAATATGAACCCAACACGGCCCAATATGGCAGAAGAGGGCCCCAAAGTTCCCCAAAGGCCCCCAAGACGGTCCCCAAGACAACCAAGATCGTGTCCAAGCCGGAAAAGATGGCCCAATGCGTCCTCGCAACGGCCCAAGAAATCATCGAAGACGGCCGCGAAGAATGCACGACGGCTCCAGCGGCCTCCAAGACGCCCCAAAAGGCCTCCAAGACAACCCGCATGACAGCTGGAAGATCCACAAATCACTGGTTTTCCACACGTAAAGCTTGCATGCAATATTTGAAAGGTCACGCCTTGTCAGGCTCCCGATATCCCAAGACGGCCCACGAGGCCTACGATATGGCCCCAGGACGGCCCAAGAGGCCCCCAGGAGGGCCCCAGAACGGCCCCCAAAGAGCCCCAAACGCCACCGAGACGGCCCAAGAGAACTCCGAAGCGGCCCAAGAGACCTCCAACACGTCTGCAGAGCAGCTCACAAGGGCCCAAAGGCGGCCCTGAGAGAGCCCGGGGACGGCCTCCGAAAGCTCCAGACGGGCCACGAGCATCGCAGGACGACCCACCAGGGTCCACAGGAAGGCCCGAAACCCCGAGTCTCGGCCCTACCTACATAGAGGCCCCGGAGAAGCCTCCCAGAAGCCCACAAGAGCCACCCGAACCCGCCTCCTAGGCAAAGCTGCGACTCGTGTCTCGCGGCAGCAACGGATGCAAGGGTGAGCGTCGGGGGACATGCGAGCACGTCTCCGACGAGGCTCCCGACAGTCAGCGTAGTGCATGCGGCGGCCGAGTGCTGCTGCCCTTCTTGCGAAGCGCCTTGCGTGGCTGCAGCCTCGGGTCGACGCTTCCGTAAGCGCAGCGGAGGATAAGCGCGACAGCACAATGGGACTCTGGCGGAAAATCCATGGTTGACGACCCGAGGCCCCCTCACAAAGAAGTGGCCCTGCCAAGCTGAACGAGCACCACGGGCCGTCCACATCGTGCCCAATGGGCAAGCAGGCGACGTAGTCGGTGTGGCCCCGTGGTCTGCCATCAAACATACGAAGAACCAGGCCCGACGCCCACGCTCGCGGACCTGCGCCCGACGCGCGTGCGCGCAGCGGCCGGCATTGGCGCCGTGCGCACCGTGCTGGGGCGGGGGGCGCGCTGCTGGACCGCTGCGGCTTGCCCCAGGAGGTGCGGCAGCGGCGGCGGGCGGCGGGCCGAAGGGCGTCCTTCGGGGACGGTGAGTGGCCCGGGGGGGGCCGGCGTGCCCAGCTCGGGGGCGTTGGACAGCGGACTCAGCGCGACCGTCCAATCCTCCAGATTGCCCACGCCCGTGCCGGCACCTTGCAGCAAGGTGCGGGGAGAATCACGAGGACGACGATGACGACGACGAAGACGGTACGGGCGAATCTGAGGGGATGGTAACGTGTCCTTCTCACTGATGAGTACATGCAGCGAGTGCCCTTGTCATCACTCAGCGGACTGGATGTATTTCCCCTTGCGTTTGGCGATGGAAGAGGGCAGCAGCACGGCAGATACAGAAGAATGGCGATGGCAGACAGAATAGCTGGCACTCATATACGAAGGGAGTGGGCCACGAGGGTCCCAGGTGCCAGCTGGCTAGTGGACGCTGGTCGGAAGCTACAAACCACGATACAGAGATGCTACAGTCGGACTCGATTCGACAGGAGACGCGAGAGGACACAGGACCCTTAGACACAGGACACAAGGGTACCCTTGATTTGGCAGGGTCGACCTACTGGGCCGACTGTAGATGTGAAAGAAGGTGAACGGTGAAGAGGGCGAACCTGTGCTGCGAAGACCTCAGAGCATCAGCAGCACCAGAAGCGGGAGCTGCGGACAAACAACCGGACGAAAGTCCTGTGACAAGCAGCGGAAGGTTGTATGTCAAGACGTCGCACCAAACAAAGGAGACGCATACTTCGTCAGGGGATGCCTGGAATCATCGGCGTAGAGGCAGAGGCATCGAACGATGCGGCAGCAAACGGTTCAGGTCGGGCAACAGAGCGGAGAGATCAATATACGAGATATGGCGGGCGTGAGGTGCACTGCGTTCCGGCGGCCACCTCACTAGTCACAACGTCGTGCTCTCACAGCTCACATGCGCCGAGGACTCACGCTCCTCGCGGTGCACTCTAGTCGGCCCACTGCCACGATGGCACAAGCACACCGAAAAAGAACTCCCAAAACAGAGCTCGTACAGGAGGGTGTTACTTCTGCTAACTACAGCCAGCCCGCACGGGAAGGATGCGCGAGAGGGATGCAAGGGCCTCGGACGCCCATTTCCAAGCCTTTCGAGCGGGGCGCGGCCAACGAAAGTGGCGAAGGATGGACCGAGGAGGCAAGGATGCAAATGGAATCCTTGGGAAGGCTGCCATTCCTTGCCATGCGGGTTGCTTGTCTGAAGGGGCCCTGGGACACACAAATAAGTAGTCACAAAAAAACAAGATCCCCGACATTTCCCCATATTTTCTGGGTTTTTGCATTCCCCCCCACTTCCCATCTCTTCCCATCTTTTCCTGGGAATCGACGATGAATTGTACCTGTGCGTTTTTTCCCTCCTGACTGACCGTAGCTACCAGCCTGGAACATATCCCTATCCCTATGCTGGGCATCTCCTCATCAAGATGCACGTCTTAGGGATTCCCTGATTTTTGAGGGCGAATCCCTAAGATTGTCATCGCCTTTTGGCGTGTCAATCTTAAGGATAGGGATACGTTCGAGGCTGGTAATGCAGCCGAGGAGCCGGATGGGGGTGCGGAGGGCCTGCCTGCTGGGCGGCCGTGCGCGCCTCGTGGGCACCGCGTGGGCCGGCTGGATCTGCCGAGGCTCCGCCCGCAACGGACGGGCACCGTGGAGGCCCGAGCACCAGAAACCTCCCGCAGGAGATCCAACCCTGAGACCCCAGGACGTCCACGGGCTCTTGGCGTGGGAGCGCCACGCCCCCCACCGCAGAGGCATCGCGACGCAGCCCAAGAAACCCAGGGCGCCCTGGAGGCGGCCAGGGCGCTCCTTGGCATGGGCCCTCGGCGGTGGCAAAACCTCCCTGTAGTAAACCTCCCCTTCTAATGAAAACGGCCTGGGACCGAAACCGAGGGACCTGGCCCCGCAAAAAGGACGGCCGCGACGCCCCCTCGCGAACCGAAAGCGGCCAATTCCTTAATCGACGTGTCGGGGCAGGGGCTCTGTCCACCTCCGAGGGGTCCCCCACTTGAAACGACGCGAAGATCGGGACAAAATCGGATCGGGATAACTCGAAATCTCTGAGAATCGGCGGGTTTGGAGGATGTATTGCGCGCCGCGGCCGCTCCAGAGCGTTCCGGAACGCTCTGAGAGCGCTCCGGAACGCTCTGGAGCGCCACTGCATCAGGGCGCCTGTTTTGCCACTGCATTAGGGCGCCTCGTGGGCGCCGGCGGGGCCTGCCGAGGTGTCGCCTCGTCGGCGCCCCGCGGGCGCCGCTGCGCCGGGCGGGCCTGCCGAGGCGTCTGCCGCCCGGTCGGCGGCCGCGGGCGCCGCGCGGGCGCACCGTGCGTGGGGCGAGGCTGCCCGAGGTGTCGCACGGCGGGCGGCCGCGGGCGCCGCGGGGGCGCCCCGCGTGCCCTGGCGGGGTCTGTCGATGGCCTTCGCCTGGTGGGCGACCGTGCGCGCCGCGTGGGCATCTTGCGCTGCTGGCGCTGCAGCGTTTGCTCTGCACCTTCGAGGGTTTGCAACCTCGAGGGTTCACTTGCACCACCGCGCTTGCACCTTCAAGGGTCTGTATCGCACAGTCTGCACCATTTAGCTGCCACCGCATGGCTTATATTATACAGCTTGCACCACGCAAAGCTTGCATCACACTGCTTACAACGCATTGCGTAAACCCCATTGCTTGCACCACACACACACACAGTTTACCTCACATTGCTTGCAGCGCGCTCAGTTTGCAGCACATAGCGTGCACCACACGGCTTGGACGCACAGGGTGCAAGAGCTCATTGCTGGGGGTCCACGCTGGGAAACAGATGGGCCATGGAGAAGAGGAGCAGTTCTCATCTCTGCAGAACAAGGATCCGAGAACTGTTAAAACTGAGGCAGACCACGGCGCTGGTAGAGCGGCAGCAGTGGCACACACTGAGATACAAACAAAGCACTAAGAAAAACACAGGCCGGGAAGTGAGCGCCTTTAAAGCTCTGGTATCCTTCGCCGCCCGCAGAGCTCGAGCTGTCAACGTCTTCTAGCGGGGGAACCTCCCGCTTCCCGCCTCTGTGTGTGAGAACTTGCACTGCAATTTCGACTCAAACACATATCATCCCATCGCCTGTCCACCCGCGTGCCCACCTCCTCCTCCCTCTCCTCGGTCTCATTCCCGTCCCACTCACGCTCCTCCTGTTCCTCTTCATCCTCCTTCTCCTGCTCTTGTCCACCTCCTCCTCCCCCTTCTCATCCTCCTCATCCCCCATCCTTCCCTTGGCCCCTTCCCCCCTAACGTCTCTGACGGTTCGGCCAGCGTGAACGAGGTTCGCAGACGGCACCGCTGAATTTAGCATCAAGTCGGGCGTGTCCCCCTACAGGGGGATTTGGGACGAAACAGATTTGGGACGAAACATTGAAAGTACCCCAACAATATTCCAGCAGTGCTCAAAAAACATAAAAAACATCGCCCCCTGACTACATACATATATATATATATATATATATATATTGGCATATATATATATATATTGGCTATGTTCGAATATTCCTCCTGCAACAGGAACGGGCCCGACTCAAACATCTAGCACGGAATTTGCGCTGGGAGGGCCGCCCCCCCCCCCCCCTGCAGCCCCGTGCTGCCCCAGGGCGGCTGGGGCCGCCGCCCCGGCCTCCGACGCCCCCCTGCCCCCCCCCCTCCAGGGCGACGAGGCCTGCGCGTGCCCACTGCTCGGGAGCGGCCAGGAGAGGGGGGCGTCCTCCTACAGGGGCCTCATTTGGGCCTGTCCCCCTACGAGGGGCATTTTGGGTAGAACATCGGAAATAATTCAAACCTGCCCCCAACATGCTGAAACATTGTACCCCCCCCAAAAAAAATCGTCCCCAGACTATGTTTCAACTATTTTTGAATATTCCTCCTGTAGAGGGCAGGCCCGACTGAACCCTGGACTCGGGAGCGGCAAAGGGGGGGGGGCGTCCAAGAGGGGCGGGGTGCAAATCATGACCAGCGGCATGTGCGCGGCCCAGCGGGGGGGCCAGGGACGCAATGGAATAAGAAGAGGCGCCATGAGATCTGGGGAGATGTCATGGCCCCCGCCATGATATCCACGCCCCGCAGTCATCACCACCCTCTTTGCCGCCCCCGAACTGCTGCCTGGCCAGGCCCATCCTGAACCCAGCAGCGGTGGGTACGCCAGGCCCTCCTGGCTCGGCGAGGAGGGCGTATACAGGATTCGGCCTGACCTCAGGAACGATAAATAAGGAGCGAAGCCTTTTTTTCCAAGGAAGTCTAGGGAGTCCGAAGGAACACCAGGGGGACTCGCCGCCAAAAAGGTAGCGGAATGCATTCAAACCAAAGGAACGGCCGAGCCCCTTTTGAAAAGTAAGTGTTCCTTATTCGAGCTGGACCCTGTACGCCAGGACCTCCTGGCTCGGCGAGGAGGGCGTAACCGCAGCTCCCAGGTTCGGAATGGGCCTGGCCAGGGAGCAGTGGATCTCAGGAAGCACACTCTGTACACCGACGCTTTGTTCCGGACCTGCGCTGACACCTGCACAGGACAGTGGATCCTGGTGTATACAGGCACTCGGTGTACACATGTCTCCTTGTTTCCCTGGGTATGCATTTTTCGTTGTTCCCCCGGAGCGGGAAGACATGTAAACCGCCCCACCCCGACGTCGTCCCCGACCCTCACAAAGACCCGGGATTGAAAAACACAGCCCGCCACTGTCCGACGTGCGCCTCCCGCTCTCAGAAGTGGAGAGGTTGCCCGAGCATCGCCTCTCACCGCCGTCTCCCGGCCCGCTCGAGCGCGCGTGCGGACTGCCTCTGCCGCGCTGCGACGCCCACATCGGCGGTGGACAAACCTCCCTGTAGTAAACCTCCCTTTAGTGAAAACGGCCCGGGACCGAAACTGACGGACCTGGACACGAAAAAAGGACGGCCGCGACGCCCTCTCGCGAACCGAAAACGGCCAATTCGCTAAGTGACGCGTCAGGGCAGGAGCTCTGTCCACCCCCGACCACAAAAGAGAGCACAGCGCCTCTCGCCTGCACAGCTTGCGAGGCTACAGCCCGCCTCGCCGCCCAGGGTGCGCGGGCCGACGCCCCGCTCCTCATGCTACATGCTGCTCCCATCGCTCCTGAGGACCACGCCCCAGAAATCCTTTCGAGCACCCACAGGAAGGTATCGAACCAGTGTCTGCCCGACACGCTGGTGGCGAAGCGTCGAACGACGATCGCCTCGAGCTTCGGCACTCTCCCAGTGGTCGACATGCTTTTGAGTGGTCCAGGCTAGGCTATAGGTCGAAACGTCACGATCCTCTGCCCCCTCCTCCCTCAAAAATCCTCCCCCCGCCTGCCCCCCTCCTGCCTCCCTCTTGCCCCGGCCTTCCCCGCCGCCGCCTGGCCGCCCCACGCCTGCACACGCCTGCCCCCCCCCCCCCGAGTGCAAGGCGAGCGCCAGCGGCCCCTGGCCTGGCTCCTCCAGTCTTCCCCCTCGTCCATTGTTATTCCCCCCCCTGCTAAGATGAAGCTAGGACGAGGATAAAGACTGGAAAGGATGAATCCAGAATCTCTGAGATCCGGCGGATCTGGAGGCTGTCTCGGGCGCCGCGGCCTTCCCGGAGCGTTCCGGCACGCTCTGGGAGCGTCCCGGAGCGCTCTGGAACTCATTGGTCCTCGTCCTAGCCAGCCCCGTCCGACACTTGCCCCGCCTCCTGTCGCCCTGCCACCTGCCTCCTCCAACTCCTCACTCCGGTCTCCTGGGGTGGGCGCCGAGCCCTGCCAGGGCCTGCAGAGCAACGGCGTGCATCATTGGGTCGTCGGTGAAATCCGAACCGTACGCATCGGTTGTTGACAGTCGGTATTTCTGGAGTCCCAGATTCCAACCTAGCGCCTTTCTACTTCAATGATCGAGTGGTTTCACCTTTTCCGTCCTCTTCAGGGGGCGGGCGGACACCCACCAATCTATTTTCAACGCCTCCCTACGTCCTGTTTCTACCTAGTCCTTCCGACCGATGGGTCCTTCGGCGATCAACGACTCAGGCAGCCCGATGGGCGGCGGGGATGGGGTTCGGAATCCGCCGAAGGGGCCCGTTGTTCCTGGAGTCTTCCCATGGCTGCTCCCCGGCCCTCCTCTCGTGCACGCAGGCGCTTCCGCGGCCACACGGGGGCTCCCTTCCCGATGTGCCTCCCCTTCGTCGAGAGCAGCCCGACTGCACCCCTGCCTCCCATCGATTCAGGAAGGAGCGATGGCGGGTGGGGGCAGGGCTCTCACATGTCGCCCTCTGCTGTGCCGGAGAGGGCGCGGGCCGCGGGGAGCCAAGGGAAATGACGGCTGGGTTCGCACGTGGAATATCTGGAAGCCATGCTAAAACGAGGCTAAGAACGGGCCAAGCAAGGCTCGATCTGAACGATGTGTGGGCGATTTCGTGGACGGGCTTTCGTTTTGACTCCGTTTTGCAGCAAAGGCGGCACGAAGACAACACCAAGGAAGACGATAACAAAACGAAACAGATAAACACTGTTCTGGTCGAGCCCTGGGGCCAACACCGGATCGGGATGAGTCGCAAATCTCTGAGATCCAGCGGTCCTGGATGTATCGGGCGGTGCGATGCGGCCGTCCTCGAGCGTTCTGCGCCACGCTCTGAAGCGAGCTAACCCGATCCTAGGCCTGACTGGCACCAGGAAGCTGGAACACACACAAAGAACTCGACTTAACAACAATGTTTTTCGTTTTCGAATTGTTTTTGTTGTCCCTGGCTTTGTCTTCAATCCACCTTTACCGCAAAACCAAGTCGAAACAAAAACGGCCCACGAAATCGCAAAAACACTGCTTAGGTCCACCCCTGCACACATACACACACACGCCAGAACTCACATGAGGAACATCCGGAAGCCGCAGAACCCTAACAGGCCGAATGCTGAAAAGACATCCGTCCAATCACATGAGCGACAAGAACAAGCGGAACCTTAGCGGCAACAAACATAAGCGACATGTCCGTTGCTAAGGTCTTCTGCGAGATGGCATACTGACCTTACGCGGTGGCTTACGCGGGCCGCCGGCGTGGCACGCTACATAAGAAACGAAGACGCTTACGCGGTTTTCGATCCATCGGTTCTTCACACACGGGAAATTGGATCCGCGCAAGACAGAAATTTGATCCACGACACTGTCGCACACCCGAAAAAAGGGATCCAATTGAATCCATCAATGTTCTCGTATCTTTCATGCACGCTTTCCATCGCAAAACCATCGAAACCCAGGGCACCCCAGATTCGAGCAGGGTGTTTCTTGGCATAGGTCTCCCCTGTATAGGACAGCGGGGGAGGGCGAAGGGGGCCCCTGCGCCCTGCAAGAGGAGGTTCCAGGACTCGCGCAGGGCGAAAGCCGCCCGCGCGCATACTTCGGGGGGCTGAGGCTTGGTGGCGACGAGGGGGGGTAGTCGAATATCTTGTAGATTAGATGCTCGTTATGGGAACCTGGAGCTCTCAACTCATGCGTCGATGATGCGTCGACCGTCCGTGGGCTTGAGTACAACTTGAGTCGAGCTCGAGTCGTCGAAGTGGAGTCGAGCTAGAGTCGAACTGAAGTCGAAGTGGAGTTGAGCAGATCTGCCAGGTAGGCCCAAGGAAGGCCCCGATCCAACGCAAGTAGACGTGCCCACATCAAGGAAGAAACTCTAAGGTGCCCATGGCCCGAGGTGCCCGGAGTTTTTTTCGCTCAATGCTGGAGCCCCTGGAGCTCTCTGGGCCTCGTGAGGGGCGCTCTGTAGGCCGTGGGGGCCTCCTTAAACATCCTGGGGCACCTTGGGTTAGGTCGGGCGTGTCCTCCTACACAGGCGGACTTTGGAATGAGAACAAATAATAATCAACAAATGCTCGACTGAAACCTTGGGCCAGGGGAACTCCTGCAGGGTCCAGCTTGAAGAAGGAGCACTTACTTTACAGAAAGGGCTCGGTCGCTCGTTTGGTCTGCACGCGTTCCGCTACCTTTTTGGCGGCGAGCCCCCCTGGTGTTCCTTCGGACTTCCCAGACTTACTTGTGGAAAGAAAGGCTTCGCTCCTTCTTTATCGTCCCCTAGTGAAGGGGCCCTGGGACACACAAATAAATACACACAAATAAAAATATTCCCAATATTTTCCAATATTTTCTGGGTTTTGGCTTCCCCCCCACTTCCCATATTTTCCAATATTTTCCTGGGAATCGACGATTAATTGTGTCTGTGTGTTTTTGTTCCTCTCCTGAAAAAAAGCCTTCGCTGCTCATTTATCGTTCCTTAGGCCAGGCCGAACACTGCAGCAGCACACGACAGGCAGCCGCACGCCCAGAGCGAGCCCCCGGGGACCGGCATGGCGCGGGGGCGGCTGCGTGGGCTGCAGCTCGTGGCAGCGTCGCCTCGGCGGCGTCTCGGGGGTGGGAGCCGCACGCGCCGTGCTGCTCGCCGCGCGCACAAGGGGGTGGGGGGGGGGGGGGGGTTTCTTAGAAGCAGGGTGCATCTTAGAAGGCGCCGGCCTTACATCTGTAGATAAGGCCAGCGCCTTCTAAGAAGCAGGGGTGCTTCTAAGAAGCCCTCCCCCCTCCTCCCACCCCCCTCTGCGCGTGGCTGAGTGCTGCTCGCCGCGCGCTGGGCCAACTGGGTCGGACGAAAGTCAGGAGGGAACAAAGCGCACAGACACAACTGATCGCCGGTCCCCACGAAAACGTTGGACAAAATTTGGGAAGTGGGGGGGGGACGACGAGAGTCCAGAGCATGTGGGAAATATAGGGCATCCTGGGATTTGAGTTTTTCTTTACGTGTCCCTGGGCCCCTTGAGGAAGGGGTGAGGGTGAAGGACAGGGAGGGCATCGATCAAGGCAGGGGAGCGTCGAGCTGGAACTCAGGTCACATGACGAGTTGTTTGGGTAAGCTTGCGATTACATCACGACAGATGGAACAGTTACGAGGTGGTACTGGGCTGCTTGGTGCCATGATAGATCTGCTCGGGGTTTGCTAAGCAGTCGACACATGCTGCTGGATAGGGAGCCCGATGCCCGAAAGCTGAAGACTGGCAACCGTAAGCGCTTTCTGTGTGGGCCACTCACGGCCAGAGAAGCATCACCAACAGCGTCCGTCTCCAACTTTGATCCGGGCGAGCACGGGCAAGTTGCACGGACACCGCGCGGGCACCGACACGAATGCTGGCACTAAAAATGAGTACGCCACACGGCAGCCTGATGGAGACACCCGCATGTGGCAAGTGTTCACACGGACGAGGCGCTCGCGGGGATCGATTGTGCACGTGACGAGGGCCCCCTGCATTGTGTGGTGTGCGTGCTGACAGCGTCGTGGATGCAGTATCACATTTATGTGTGGACAGCATGTGCGACGACCACGCTGACCTTAGACATGCATGAGGGGGAGGGGGAGCTCCGAAAGCCTCCTGACGCCTTTGTGGAGTGGGATCCCGACCTAAGAAACACAAAAAGGTTGGACCCCAGACTCTGCGCAGCCAGCCGCTGCCCGTCGTAGGCAGAGAGCTGATCCAGAGATAGCGCGTCTCGAGCCCCCTCACACACAAATCGAACAGCCTTCTCACAACCTTGTTTTCGAACAGACGGCCACTCCAAGGCCCAGCGGACCATCAGAGGCAGATGAAGAGCAAGCATACGCAGACGCCCTTGCTCTTCTGGAAGGAAGCCCTCTCCCCGTCTCCCGCCTCCGTTCCCCCGTCTCCTATGCCGGTCCCGCTTGTCGATGAAATCTGCGCAAGCATCGAGAATCGTCGAGCCCTCGCGGGCGCACGCAGGCAGAGGCGACCTCGAGCGTGAGCGAGCGCAGCACACTCGGCCCGCTGTGCCCTGGACGGCCGACCCCAACTTTGGCGTCGGGCTGCTCGATCAAGCGCAGTACAGTCGGGGCGTTGACCTAAGGAACCCTAAGTAAGGAACGAGGCCCCTATTTTCCATAAGTTAAACTTCGATTTCCCACCGAAAACCTAAGGAAAACCTAAGACAAGCTGCGAAACAATTAAGGAACACGGAGCCCCTCCCCAACGGAGAGGGTTCCTTCTCCAGCGCCCCGACTGTAGGCACGTGCATGCCGATGCCAACACGACCCGTCGTTTTGTACCTCAGCCTGGCATGACAGATGGCATGGGCGAGTCGAGACGACGTGACGATCCGCACGCTACGTGACAGGTCGCAGTCGAGCCTGAGTGTTGATGAGTCGTGAGTCAGGGGTATGACGCAGCAGGCCGCTCCTTCATTCTGCCGACCCTGCCCAATGGTGCGCGTGCTCAGCCGCCGTGGATCGGCCCACGGCGCTCCCAGCTCACCGCGGACCACTGCGACTTCCAGGGTCGCGAGGAGGTTGCAGTCAGGCACGCTTGGGGTTGGCCAAGCGCGCTCTCTTGCTTTCCCCGCCAACCATCGCTCGTTGCCGCCCCGCCTGGCTCTTCACCGACCACGCCGCCTCCTTGACGGCGAGGGGCTCCAACCCGCCCTGACCCCTCTGATTTTCTGTTCCTCCGTTTTTGTTGCCAAGAAACCCTGGGCACCCTGCAGGCGAGCAGGGTGATCCTTGGCATGGGTCTTCACTGCATGGTCAAGGGCCCACGTCAACGGTGCCCCCGAGGCGCACCACACGTGCGGGGCCCTCTCGGGGCGCCTCCCCGCGCCCGCCAGCCGGGTGCCCGCAGGTAATTTGCAGCAGCGCATTCTCTCTTCGGCGGCGAGCGAGGGGGGGGAAGTGAGAATGAGAGGCCTTCTCAGAAGGCGGCGGGGGTTCTCAGACGCCCCCGCGCCTTCCGGGAGGCTTTCGGTGTCTTCGGGGAAGGCTTAGGAAACTTCCTAGAAGGCTGGGGGACTTCCGCGCATTCTGAGGAGGCCCGCCCCCTCTCACTTCACCCCCCTCGCTCGCCGCCGATCTCTGCCATTTTGAGCACACGACACAGGAGAAAGGTGCTGATGAAGACCTCCCTCACTCTCGGCTGTCTTTGCGCGAATAGCGAGTGTTGTCCGCCGCCGTCTCGTCTGCGTGGCGTTCTTGGGGCCGAAAACAAGTCTGCCCCACCAGGTACTACAGTAGGGGTCCGACCACAAGAAACCTTCCACAAGAAGCCCAACCCTGAGACCCCAGGACGTTCATCGATTTTTGGTGGTGTGGGCACGTCATGATTTTCCCAGAGCAAAGCCCTCGAAACCCAAGAAACCCAGGGCACCCTGGAGGCAAACAGGGTGTTTCTTGGCAAGGGCCTTCACTGTGCCTCGCCAGCGTCGCCGGCTCGGGAATCCTAGAACATCTCCTCCTCTCTCCTCTCTCCTCCCTCCTCCCCCTTTTCCTCATCATCCTTCCTCCTCCTCCCCCTCCCTCCTCCTCTTCCTCCTCCTCCTCCTCCTCCTTCTCCGCCTCCTCCTCCTCCTCCTCCTCCTCCTCCTGCTCCTCCACCTCCTCCCACTCCGAGGAGGCCGCTCTCGCACTGCTCCAGCATGGCGGGGTCGTACACGCCCTGGCCGGGGATGCCCGACGGCCAGGGGCTCCACCGCCACAACCGCCCCCCAGCCCAACCTCCCACTCCCCATCCCTTCCCGTCCCCTCCCCCCGGCCCCCCCCTTCCTATCCCCCCCCTCCTTTTCCTTTCCCAGCGGGGGGGGAGCGCCCGCCAGAGTGCGTCCACGCCACCGGCGCATCAATCGCCTGTGTGTACCGCACTCCCTGTGTACACGACAATGCCCAATGTCTGCGTACAACACAACGCAACGTGTTTACATACCACAGTGACTCCGTATACCACAACAGCCGCGTGCACTGCAGCGCCGCGTCGCCTATGCACACCGCAATGTCTGGGTATACTGCAGCAGCCGTGTGGGCAACGACGCCCTTGCACTCCGCATTGCCTGCGCGCGCCAGAACGCCAGCACCGTGCAAATGGACCCCCTCAGGATTCCACAGAAAACAAATATGTAATACAAATGTTGGAGCGAATGCAAAACATAATTGCAAAGTTTAAAACAATTTTTTACAAATTTAAATTTTGGAACGACGAACTCTACAATTCTTAACATATCTCATATACAACTTAAACAACAAAATCGCTATGGAAACCGGAGCGCCTCTGGACACCACAGAACACCGTGGTTTGAGAAAAGAATACCTATGAAAAGTGGGGCGCCTCTGGATTAGGGGACCGCATGCGAACCCTACCCCTATCCCCCACGATTTCTGAGGTGGAGGGTGGGGTTCACTTTGCTTGGGAGCTCCCGAACGCAGTGAACCCCACCCTCCACCTCAGAAATAGTGGGGGGTCGGGGTAAGGTTCGCATGTGGCCCCCTATAGGTTCCACAAAACACACTTGCGATGAGGTTTCTACACGCGTGCGCCACATCTCCTGCGTACACCACAGCGCCTGTGCGCACCACAGCAGCCGCGTGCAACACAGCGCCCGTGTACACCACGGTGCCTGCGTGCACCACAACGCTCGCGTACACCACAGCGCCTGTGAAAACCGCACTAGCCGTGTGCAACACAGCGCCGGTTTGCACCACGCTGCCTGCGTGAACCACAACGCCTGCGCACACCACAACGCCTGCGGGAGAAGGCGCGGGGCCGCCCACTCTTCATCTTCTCCATGGCGCTGGATCTAAAATCAATGCGTGCATTAAGGACGGGTGGTATCGACTGCGTGGATCGTTCAATCTTGAACGATCTCCGCTCCTGGAGGACCCTGGAGGCCGTCGACCCCATCTTTCATACGGATTTCGCGCCGCGGGCTCGTTTCTGCGGGTCCCGGGGCCCGAAACGGCCCCATGGGTTGGAGGGTGGATGTGGGGGTCGGGCGCAGGGTTCCGGCAATGATGTCTGATGGGCCACGCATGGGCAATGCATCCTCGATTGCTGTGTTCGGCGCGGGAACCAATTGAAGCTCCCCGCCTGCACCCATGCGCGAGACGTGAGAGTAAACGAAGCAAGGAGTCAGGGCTGGCTGGGGAAAGGCGACGAGGGCAACGTGCGCTGCGGGCGCAAGAAGAAATGATTGGAATAAAAGCGGCGGGGTGAGAGTCAAAATCTGCCCAGCCAATCTGACATGCGGAACACTCCGCCTCAATTTGCCTCAATTTGGGGATCTTGAGGGCCAGGGCACATTGTGAATTCACATTGTGTGGAACAAACAAAATGCGAATTCACATGTCCAGAAGACAGGAAAATGTGAATTCGAAGTTTGGAAACATGATCGACCCACGAACCTGGAAAGGAATATAGAAATGTAATGCATGGCAACGTTTCAAAAAACACCTGACTGGGCGACAGGCAATTGCAATGCTGAGTGTATCGACCTAGATGGACCGTGCCGAGGGCTGTGCTATGCTGCGCCGTGCAGAACTGCGATGTGCCATGCCGCGATTGTGATCTATAGTGTTGTGGATCGAATGCTCCTTTGCATCCGAGTCCTGACCGAACTGATCTGGATCTTAAGCTCGAGCTGCCTGAGCACATAGTAGTTGCCCCAGAGCTAACTGGCAGGGGGGCATGCTAGGAGGACGCGCCGCGGAACGTCCCAAAGGACGCGCCAGGCGACGTGCCAGGGGACGTGCCATGGGGACGTACCGCGGGACGTGCCAAGGGGGCGCGCTACGGAACGTGCTAATGGACGTGCCAGGGGACGCGCCGCGCGACGTGCCAGGGGGACTCGCCGCGGGACGCGCCACGGAACGTGCCAAGGAACGCGCCAAGTTGCAATGCTGAGTGTATCGATCTAGATGGACCGTGCCGAGGGCAGTGCTGAGCTGCGCCGTGCTGAACTGCGATGTGCCATGACGCGATTGTGATCTACAGTGTTGTGGATCGAATGCTCCTTTGCATCCGAGTCCTGACCGAACTGATCTGGATCTTAAGCTCGAGCTGCCTGAGCACATAGTAGCTGCCCCAGAGCTAATTGACAAGGGAACATGCTAGGAGGACGCGCCGCGGAACGTCCAAAGGGATGCGCCAGGCGACGTGCCGCGGGACGTGCCACGGGGACGCACCGCGGGACGTGCCAAAGGGACGCGCTACGGAACGTGCCAGTGGACGTGCCACCTCATCGTAGACATCCGCCTGGGCGAAGTGGACACGTGAAAACACGTGGTTCGCTCGAGACATCCTCAACACATCTTCATGTTAGACGTCCGTTCCAGGCTCCCAGGAAGGCCCCAGAAGGCCCATGTTAGATACCCCCAGGTGGCCTGGACACGTTGAAACACCCGGTTCAGCCATGTTAAATACCCCCCCTGGGCGGCCTGGACACGTAAAACCACGTGGTTCAAATTCGGGACAACCATGCTAGACACCCTCCTGGGTGGCCTGGACATGTAAACGCACGTGGGACCAGCTCTGGGCCACCATGTTAGATACACACATGTGAGGCCGGGACACGTTAAAGCACATGGTCCTTGCAAACGTAAAAAACACGCGGTGCCAGCTCGGGACAACCATGTAAGATACCCCCCTTGCGTGGCCTGGATACGCTGAATTCGCGCTCCCGCTCGAGACATCCTCGCAATGTCTTTCCTGGAGAGGCCCCCAAAGCGCCACCCATTGTCCAGAGCAAGAAAACATACCTTTTTCCTGTTTTGGGACGTGTGTTCGGGCAGCGTTTTTCGGCCCCCCGTGCGTTTCCCGATAATTCGGCGTTGGGCCCGACTCCATGTTAAATACCCCCCTTCTGGGCGGCCTGGACACGTAAACACGCGTGGTTCCACTTCGGGACAATCATGTTAGAGTCCCCACTGGGTGGCCTTAACACGTGAAAACACTAGGTTCCAGCACGGGGCCACCATGTTAGATACCCCCCTGGGCGGCCTGGACACTTGAAAACACGAGGCTCGCAGGACAACCATGAAGATACCCCTCCTGGGTGGCCTGAGGTTCCAGCTCGGGACTACCATTTTAGATGCCCCACTGGGCGGCCAGGACACATGAAAACACAGATTCCAGCTCGGGACCACCATGTTAGATATGTACCCCTCTGATGGCCTTGCCTGCACACGTAAAAACTCACAGATCCGGCCCACCCCGGGGGGATATCCAATGTGCGGTCGTCTGGGGCGCCAGCGAGGGACAACCATGTTGGATACCCCCTTGGCCGACCTGGGCACATGAAAACAAGCATTTCGCCTGAGACATCCTCTGGATTCTGCCCCCCCACGAGGGCCCCGCTCGAGACACCCCCCAACTCTGCAAAACCAGCATTTCGCTCGAGGCATCCTCAACCAATTCTGAAAAACGAGCGTTTCGCTTGGGACATCCTCAAGAATAAGTCCGCCCGCCCTTCCCGACCTCGATATTTATCCGTGAGTAATTCCGCCGGCCTTTCCCCAACATGGCATGGGGGACAATGTACAAACTAAACGAGAACCCTTGGCCCGCGCCTTTTCCCGGAAAAAAGGACATGTGAATTCACAGGTTGGAAATGTGCATCGGAATCTTTATAGACGGGGCCAGAATGTGAATTCACATGTTGGGAAAAAGGAAAATGTGAATTCACTCTTTGGGAGAAAGGAAAATGTGAATTCACATTCTGGAAGAATCGCGGGACCCATTCCAAATCTGTCTTAGGTGTCGTCAAATCTTCGTTTGGGAACATACGCGATCATCAATCGCACAATCAAGGCACACTTGCATTCCACTGCGCCGCCCCACGCGCGACATGCAAGAACGCCCGCACGCATGAACGATAATGGATGGACGGCGCATTTGCCCGCTCGGGCAACGCGCGGACACGAACCACTGGCCCTCCATGGCCGCCAACATTGGATGCCAATCATACCCGATCGCAAACATGGGCGACATATTGAGCATACATGGGCCATTTAGCCCCCATTGCAGACCCCCTGTTGCAGACCCCTTCTTTCACCCTCCAACTGGGTCGCGATCAGCCTTACACGCCCGCGCTGGCGTCGCCGCCGCGTCAACGCGGTGCGGCCACGAAGCCCTGGCCAGTGGGATGAAAGCCCCCACATTCTGCATCTGTGAGAATGTGAACGGACCAGCGGCGGGGGGAGGTGGGAGGTGGGGCGGCGGCGGCGACCTGCCAGAGACAGGCGGCCCTCCCGCCCAGCCGACCCGCCGCCCTCCGAGTAGAGCACCTTGGCAGTGAGTCCGCCTGACCTGCGCGCACCGCAGTAGCCTGCAAGCGCCACAAATCGCATGTGTGCACCCAGACATGTCTTTCAGCACCGCGCCATGCCTGTGAGCTCGGCGCCGCAACAGGTGGGGAGCCTGCGAGCGCCACAACACGCTCGTGAACACCAACGCGTTTCAGACCACGCCGTACCGGTGAGCACAGTGCCATTCCTGCGGGGGGTCCGCTTCCAGCATGTCGAGAGGGCCCTGCAACCCCCCTCCCAGCACGATCGTTTGCGTTACCCGGGGGGGAGGGGGGATTGGCTCGGGTAACGAGCGTTACGCTCGGGAAGAAATCAAAAACGCTCACCTACCCCTCCCTGCCTCACCTTTTTTTGTTGTTGCTGTTTTTGTTTTTCCTCTCTCTCTCTCTCTCCCCTCCAATCCTTCCATTCCCCTCCCGCCTTCCCCTCCCTTCTCCGTCATGCCCCGCCCCCTCCCTCCCTTCCATTCCCCCTTGGCCCTCCCCATCTCTCCCTGCGGGGGTGAGGCCTGGCTGATCCACCCCCAGGGCAGGAGATTGGGGGGCAGGGGCAGCAAACGAAGGCTGCAGAGCAGAGGAAGAGGGGGGAGGAGGAGATGGAGGAGGAGGAGGAGGAGGAGGAGGAGGAGGAGGAGGAGGAGAAGGAGGACGAGGACGAGGACGAGGGGGAGAGAGAAAGCGGGGTGCAAGGGGGGGGCGGGTCGTCGCCCGCCGTCGGTCTGGCTTCGTCGTGCGCCAGCGTGACCTCTCTGCCCTCCTGTCGAGGCCTCCTAGATGGGGTCCAAATAGATGGGGTCGGGCAACAGGGGGGGATAGCAAAAGAGATTTTGAGAATCAGCTCACGTAGCTGATTTTCCTGGCGCCTCCCGGCGACGGAGGCGGCTATGTATCGAGGAATGGGCCCCTCGGTGGGGCCGCAACCAGCTGCATGCAGCAAATTTCGTAACCCCCCCTTTCCCAATCCCCCCCTTTCCCAGTCCCCCCCTTTCGAGGATCGCGCCGCACCTGCGATGCATCGGCGACGTCGGCGGTGCATCGGCGCCGTCCGCGTGGACAAAACTGGGCTCCGCATCGAGCCGCATCGCCCATGCATAAGCGATGCGATGCGATCCTCCGAACCCATCTACTCCGACCCCATCTGGGAGGCCTAGATCCTTGCCCTCCACGATTGCTCAATGTGAACACTACTCTCCTCTTCCCCCCAGGTCCAGCCCGAGCCAGGCAACTTTTCTCCCGCATTACTGCCTTCCAAGTGTACCAATTCTGAGTATGATGTTCGATATGGCTTCTGTCCAATCGGCATTTCGGTGCTTCGACATGGTGCTCCCCTGTTCTGAGTTGCGCACAATTGGCACGATGCGATGATCTGGGAGGTTCCACGTCCGCCATGACACCCGTCGGCGGATAGAGGCGCAAATCAACGCAGTGGGACAAGATTGGTGGGATGGAACAGGACATCGGGTGTGGCGCGAGAGCGCCTATCTTGCATCCCACCCCTCTCTCCTCCTTCTCCTCATCCGCGCCCTGGCCCTGGCCCTGGTCCCTGTCTCGTTCGTCGTCCTCCTCCTTGTCCTCGTCTGCCTCTGATCCGCTCGGCCACGCCCGTGGGGTCCTGCACGCCGCCAGAAGACCACGGGAAGCCGCAGCAGCCGATGTACTGGGGGGGGGGGGGGTACACGGCGCTGCCTCGGAGTCACCATCCATCCCTGCCTCCATTGCCCTCACTCCCAATCCCCCCTCCACCCTTACCTCTCCCCCCTCTCCACTCTCGCCTCCCTCTCACCTCCCCTCTCGCCTCCCCCCCCCACTCCCCCTCATCGTCGATATTCTCCCCCTTCCTCCTCCTCCTCCTCCTACTTTATAATCCCGATCCCTCACTCCTCCTCCTTCCTCCACCTTCTCCTCATGTTCCTCCTCCACCTCCTCCTCCCCCTATCATCCAGTTCATGCGTCCCCTCCTCCTCCTCCTCCTCCTCCTCCTCCTCCTCCCCCCCTCCTCCTCCTCCTCCTCTCCTCCTCCTCCTCCTCTCCTCCTCCTCCTCCTCCTCCTCCTCCTCCTCCTCCTCCTCCTCCTCCTCCTCCTCCTCCTCCTCCTCCTCCTCCTCCTCCTCCTCCCTCCTCCATCGCCTCATCCTCCTCCTCCTCCTCCTCCCTAGCCCCTCGTCCTTCTAAAACATGGCTCCTCCCTGCCGCACGCCGATGACGCTTCGGCAGGGCGTACCAGGCGTGTCGCCTCTGAGACTTCCTCGCCACGCAGATGCTCCTGACGCTTGACATCGGCGGCAAGCCAGGGGGGAAGAGCGAAGGAGAAGGCCTTCTACGATGCATGCACGATGCATCGGCGACGTCGGCGGTGCATCGGCGACGCTGGCATGGAGAAAGTCGGGCTCCACGTCGGGCCGCATCGCCGATGCATTGGCGATGGGGGCGCGAACCTGCGACCCCACCTGCTCGGATCATCTGGTAGGCGTAGAGAAGAGAAGAGGGGAACTGCTCGGCGGCGGGCCTGGGGGGGGGTGAGAAGGAAGCGGCCTTCTCAGAAGGCTCAGGAGACTCCCAGCCTTCTGAAAAACTGCGTCAGCCTTCCCCGAAGACAGAGACAAAAAACACTTCTCGGAAAGCACGGAGCGCTTCTGAGAAGTCCCCGCCGCCTTCTGAACCTGCTTTCTCCTTCTCACTCCACCCCTCGCTCGCCGCCGGTGAAATGTACAACCATTTCGCGGATGGATGGAGGGCGGGCCGTTGTCAAGATGCGGCTCTCGCCTTTGCGCCGCGCACATTCCTCTTAAACGCCTGCAAGGGGTTCAAGGATGGCGGGCGGTCGGTGTTCAAAAGGCGGCGCTCGTCTTAGCTCCGCGCACATTCGTCTTCACACGTTGCAGGAGCTTCACGGTCGGAGGGCGGCTCCTTTTCAAATGTGGCTCTCGCCTGTGCGCTGCGCACTCATCTTAACAGTTTACATCAGTATGGATGACATCCCAGGACGGTGTTCTGGCACGGTTTGGGGTGGTCAGGGCGCGGCAGTCATGTCAATTCGCAGTGCTGACGTGCCAGACATGGTGTTCGGGTACGATGTCGAATCGTCAGGTCGCAGCAGTAACGTTGATTCGGGACGCTGAAGTCCCAGGAATGGTGACTGGCACAATTGAAGATTTTCAAACAATCGTCTTCCCACGGGGCTCTTCCCGCAGTGAGACAAGGGTGGAGGCAGGGTTTGCTGCAACATCGTTGATGCGTCTTGGGGTTGCACTCGTCCTCATTCTCATCCCCATCCCTCTCGCCCTCCTCCTCCTCCTCCTCCTCCTCCTCAGTGTTACCATGCCTCGACCTGAAACCTCATTCTCCTCATCTCACCCTCTTCCCTCCCACGATAAAACATTGCTGGGCAATCGGTGCTTCAACCACGGGTCCGAACCCTGGAACCCTTGACACTGTGAGGATGGAGCACGCCAACACGTGATGGGCCTGCTGCGGGGGACCCTGACGCGACCGAATCCACTGTAGCATTCCGCGAGGGGGCCCTCTGCCGCATCTTCACGTCCTGCTCTGGATGGTATTAGGGGAAACATGATCGACCCACGAACCCGGAAAGGAATATAGACATGTAAGGCATGGCTTCTTTTGGAAGACACCTGATTGGGCGACGGGCAAACGCAATGCTGAGTGTATCGATCTTGAGGTACCGTGCCGAGGGCTGTGCTGTGCTGCGCTGTGCTAAACTGCCATGTGCCATGCCGCGATTGTGCTCTATAGCGTTGTGGATCGAGTCCTCCTTTGCATCCGAGTCCTGACCGAACTGATCTGGATCTTAAGCTCGAGCTGTCTCAGCACGTAGTAGCTGCCCCAGAGCTAATTGACAGGGGAGCATGCCAGGAGGACGCGGCGTGGAACGTCCCAAGGGACGCGCCAGGCGACGTGCCAAGGGACGTGCCACGAAGACGCACCGCGGGACGTGCCGAGTGGACGCGCTACGGAACGTGCCAAAGGACGTGCCACGGGACGTGCCAGGGGACGCGCCGCGCGACGTGCCAGGGGGACTCGCCACGGGACGCGCCACGGAACGTGCCAGATTGCAATGCTGAGTGTATCGATCTTGAGGTACCGGGCCGAGGGCTGTGCTGCGCTGCGCTGTGCTAAACTGCCATGTGCCATGCCGCGATTGTGCTCTATAGCGTTGTGGATCGAGTCCTTCTTTGCATCCGAGTCCTGACCGAACTGATCTGGATCTTAAGCTCGAGCTGCCTCAGCACATAGTAGCTGCCCCAGAGCTACTTGACAGGGGAACATGCCAGGAGAACGCGCCGCGGAACGTCCCAAGGGACGCGCCAGGCGACGTGCCAGGGGACGTGACACGGGGACGCACCGCGGGACGTGCCGAGGGGACGCGCTACGGAACCTTAAAATGCGTGGTCCTTGCTCGGAGCAACCATGTTAGATATCCCCTGGATGGCCTAGACGCATAAAAACACATGGTGCCAGCTCGGGAAACCATACTATATACACCCCTGAATAGCCTGGACTCGTTACAACACATGGCCCTTGCTCAGAACAATCATGTTAGATACCCCCTCTGGGTGGCCTGGATACGCAAAAGCACGTGATTCAAGCTCGGGACAACCATGTTCGATATCCCCCTGGGTGGCCTGGACACGTAAAAACATATGGTTCCAGCTCGGGACCACCATGTTAGATACCCCTCTGGGTGGCCTGCACACGTAAAAACACGTGATCCAGCCCACCCAGGGGGGATATCTAACATGCGGTCGTCTGGAGCACAGGAGGGCCCAGGAACGCCCAGAGGCGCCTGGCGGCCAAACAGTAAACGAATCGATACCAAATACAAATAAACTCTCGACGTTCCGTTCCGAGTCCCAGGAAGGATCCAGGAGGCCCATGTTAGATACTCCCTGAGTGGCCTGGACACGTGAAAACACGTGGCTCCAGCTCGGGACCACCATGTTAGATACCCCCATGGGTGGCGTGGACATGTGAAAACACGCGGTTCCAGCTCGGGACCAACATATAGATGCTCACCTGGGTGGCCTGCACACGTGAAAACACGTGGTTCCAGCGCGGGACCACCATGTTAGATACCCCGTGGGTGGCCTGGACACGTGAAAACACGTGGTTCCAGCTCGGGACCGCCATGTTAGATACCTCATGGGTGGTTTGGACACGTGGCTCCAGCTCGGGACCAACATGTTAGACACCCCCCTGGGTGGCGTGGACACATGAAAACACGCGGTTCCAGCGCGGGGCCACCATGTTAGATACACCCTCTGGGCGACCTGGGCACGTGAAAACACGTGGTTCCAGCTCGGGACCACCATCTTAGACACCCCCTGGGTGGCCTCGACAGGTGAAGCACGTGGTTGCAGCTCGGGACCAACATGTTAGATACCCACCTGGGTGGCCTGTACACGTGAAAACACGTGGCTCCAGCTCGGGACCACCATGTTAGATACCCACCTGGGTGCCCTGGACACGTGAAGCGACGTGGTGCCAGCTCGGGCAGAACATGTTAGATACCCACCTGTGTGGCCAAGGAAATCCTAGAAAAACAAACGAATTAATCAAGACATCCTCGAAATTCCTGCGCGCGGGACGCGGCACGCGCGAGACATCCTCGGAATTCCTGTGAGCGGGACGTGAAAACAAGCATTTCGCCTGAGACATCCTCTGAATTCTGGCCCCCCACGAGGCCCCCGCCCGAGACATCCCGAACTCTGCAAAACCAGCGTTTCGCTCGAGACATCCTCAACAAATTCTGAAAAACAAGCGTTTCGCTCGAGACATCCTCAAACATAATTTCGCCGGCCTCTTCCCGCACGTAATTTATCACAGAATAATTCCGCAGGCCCTCTTCCCGTCGATTCCGGGGGTAGACGGCTAAAAGAAAACCCTGGGCTTAAGCCCTTTCCGGGAAAAATTGCATAAACATTACGCTACCGAGGAACCCCACATACTGATTTTATGTCTTGTGTGAAGCGCGCTACCACTACCACCGCCGTCATGCTCTCAGGTGCCCCCTGTGGTCGTTGAAAGGAGGGGGAGGACGTGTGGGGGGAGAGGAGGGGTTGAGGAGTCATCTGTGACGGTCATATCTGGCGTCGCCTGGCACTTGGATACGAAAGGTAATACGCAATCCCGCACTAGAGGCTATGCCTGGACGACCCTGGCACGCATAGAAAGACCACTCCCTGCGCACCCCCTCTGGTGTTGAGAAAATGCCACGCCTGCAATGCCTGGACAACCCTGGCACGCATAGGGAGACCACCCCCTGCGCACCCCCTCTGGTGTCGAGAAAGTGCCACGCCTGCCACGCTCTCCGACCCTGGCACGCATAGACGCCGCGGTGAGAGACCACCCCCTGCGCACCCCCCCTGGTGTCGAGAAAGTGCCACGCCTGCCACGCTCTCCGACCCTGGCACGCATAGACGCCGCGGTGAGAGACCACCCCCTGCGCACCCTCTCTGGTGTCGAGAAAATGCAACGCCTGCCACGCGCTCCGACCCTGGCCGCATAGACGCCGCGGTGAGAGACCACCCGCTGCGCACCCCTCTGGTGTCGAGAAAATGCCACGCCTGCCACGCTCTCCGACCCTGGCACGCATAGACGCCGCGGTGAGAGACCACCCCCTGCGCACCCCCCCTGGTGTCGAGAAAGTGCCACGCCTGCCTGCACGCTCTGCGACCCTGGCAGCATAGACGCCGCCCCGCCGACCGTGGAGAGACCACCCCTGCGCACCGCCCTCTCTGGTGTCGAGAAAATCCCGCGCCCGCCACGATCTCCGACCCTGGCACGCGTAAAGGCCGCGGTGAGAGACCACCCCCTTGCGCACCCCCTCTGGTGTCGAGAAAGTGCCACGCCTGCCACGCTCTCCGACCCTGGCACGCATAGACGCCGCGGTGAGTGACCACCCCCTGCGCACCCTCTCTGGTGTCGAGAAAGTGCCACGCCTGCCACGCTCTCCGACCCTGGCACGCATAGGCGCCGCTGTGAGAGACCGACCACCCCCTGCGCACCCCCCCTGATGTCGAGAAAAGCCACGCCTGCCACGCTTCAGCCTGGAACGATAGGGGCCGCGATTGAGAGAGACACCCCATGCTGAACCCTCTCTGGGTTTGTGTCGAGAAAGTGCCACGCCTGCCACGTCTCCGACCCTGGCACGCCAATATAGACGCCCGCGGTGGAGATCACCCCCTGCGGCACCCCTCTGGTTTCGAGGAAGTGCCACGCTGCCACACTCTCCGACCCTGGCAGCATAGACGCCGCGGTGACCAGAACACCCCTGGCACCCCCCTGGTGTCGAGAAAGTGCCACGCCTGCCACGCTCTCCGACCCTGGCACGATAGGCCGCTCATCCTCGGTGAGAGACCACCCCCTGCGCACCCCCCTGGTGTCGAGAAAGTGTCACGCCTGCTAGGCCCTGCGACAATGGAACGTATAGAGACTGCAGTGAGGGACCACCTCATACGCACCCCTCTGGTGTCGAGAAAGTGCCACGCCTGCCACGCTCTGCGACCCTGGCACGCATAGGGCCGCGGTGAGAGACCACCCCCTGCGCACCCTCTCTGGTGTCGAGAAAGTGCCACGCCTGACGACATGGCGCGTATAGAGCCGCGGTGAGAGACCACCCCCTGCGCACCCCCCTGGTGTCGAGAAAGTGCCACGCCTGCCACGCTCCCAGACTGGCACGCATAGACGCCGCGTGAGAGACCACCTCCTGCGCATCCCCTCTGGTGTCGAGAAAGTGCCACGCCTGCCACGCTCTCCGACCCTGGCACGCATAGACGTCGCGGTGAGAAACCGCCTGCCACGTCTGCCACGCTGCCACGCTCCGACCCTGGCACGCATGGACGCCGCGGTGAGAGACCACCTGCGCAACCTTCTGGTGTCGAGAAAGTGCCACGCCTGCCACGCTCTCCGACCCTGGCACGCATAGACGCCGCGGTGAGAGACCACCCCCTGCGCACCCTCTCTGGTGTCGAGAAAGTGCCACGCCTGCCACGCTCTCCGACCCTGGCACGCATAGACGCCGCGGTGAGAGACCACCCCCTGCGCACCCTCTCTGGTGTCGAGAAAGTGCCACGCCTGCCACGCTCTCCGACCCTGGCACGCATAGACGCCGCGGTGAGAGACCACCCCCTGCGCACCCTCCCTGGTGTCGAGAAAGTGCCACGCCTGCCACGCTCTCCGACCCTGGCACGCATAGACGCCGCGGTGAGAGACCACCCCCTGCGCACCCCCTCTGGTGTCGAGAAAGTGCCACGCCTGCCACGCTCTCCGACCCTGGCACGCATAGACGCCGCGGTGAGAGACCACCTCCTGCGCACCCCCTCTGGTGTCGAGAAAAAGCCACGCCTGCCACGCTCTCCGACACTGACACGCATAGACGCCGCGGTGAGAGACCACCCCCTGCGCACCCCCCCTGGTGCCGAGAAAGTGCCACGCCTGCCACGCTCTCCGACCGTGGCACGCATCGACGCCGCGGTGAGAGACCACCCCCTGCGCACCCTCTCTGGTGTCGAGAAAGTGCCACGCCTGCCACGCTCTCCGACCCTGGCACGCATAGGGGCCGCGGTGAGAGACCACCCCCTACGCACCCCCCCTGCTGTCGAGAAAGTGCCACGCCTGCCACGCTCTCCGACCCTGGCACGCATAGGGGCCGCGGTGAGAGACCAAGCCGTGCTGAGCAGTGCTGTGAGGAGGAGGGGAGGTGTGAGGTGAGAGGCGGGTGCGACGCGGCAGGGAATAAAACCATAACCCCACGAAGCATGTGGGGAACCAGAACCCCACGAAACATGTGGGGAAGAAAGAGAAGGAGAGGGAGGAGAAGCAGGAGGAGACGCGGGTGAGACGCGGAAGGGAAGAAAACCATAACCCCACGAAACATGTGGGGAATAAAAACTCTGAGGTCTGCGCGGATTTCTCGGATCGGCGCTGGGGCCCCCTGGCGGCGCCTCCAGCGCCGCCTCTGGCGCGCTCCGCGCGCCAGGGAGGGGGGCCCAGCGCCGATCCGAGAAATTTGCGCGGGCCTCAGAGTTTTTATGTTTATGCCACATTTTGTTCCCCTAGGTATGGTCGCATTTCCAAAGGATCCCCTATATTTTCTCATCTATTTTCTTGGTGTCTGCCTTCCACCCCACCTCCCATACTTTCCCACATTTCCTGGGGAATCGACGACTGATTGTGTCTGTGCTCTTTTTCCCTCCTGACGCTTGGTCACGGGTCGCCAGTCGAGGCGAGCACCTCTCGGCTCAGGGTGCCCGCACTTACCCGATCTTGCTCCTCTGCGCACTTACCCCTGCGGACTTACCCGATCTGCTCTCGACCCTCACGCGACTCGCCCCGCCCACGAGCACTGAGGTCGCATCGGCCGGGGTCCTCGCGCCTCCTGTACAGCACGTTGTCTCTGACCTCCGCAGCGGTTCGAGCACGGCAGCTGGCTCCCCCCCCGCCCCGAGAAGCACGAACGATTCCCACATCCACGCACTGGGCGTTGGAATACTGAGCCCGACTCGCACGAATTGATGCGCTACTGTCAGGCTTGTTCGGGATATCCATGAATTACGGGGGCCTCAACAATGCCCGACAGGCACCCAACCGCCAAGTTGAAAAGGTGGCTGGCGTGGGTCCCCCCCCCTCATGGTCACCCTCCAATAAGGCGCCAACGCTGAGCACGATGGCTCCAATCTTACCCCTGAGCCGCGATGATCTCAGAATGCTTCCGAAGGAACCACGAGACGTACCAGATGCTCCACGAGTGGGTCGAAACAACCTCCGCATGGTGGGGAATCTCCGCGAGCCCTCCCTACGAGAAGCCCGCTTGCACGGAGCCCTGTGTCTCCACGGGCCCTGGGGGGCGTGTCTTGAACCAAGAGTGGCTTGCAGTTGGGCGTAAGCTTACAGTAAGGGCCCGACCACAAGAAACGTTCCACAAGAAACACAACACTGAGACCCCAGGACGTCTAGTGATGTTTGGTGTAGGAACGTCACGCTCTCCACAACGAAACCATGGAAACCCCAAAAGCCCAGGGCACCGTGAAGGCAACCAGGGTGTTTTTTTAGCATGGGTCTCCACTGTTCTCTCCTCCAACGCGCCAGTGAGGTCAAGCCAACGATTACTGATGTGTGAGGTCTGGAGCAACAAAAATCAACTTCCTTGTGAAGAAGCGACGAGGCCGTTCCTGTACCGGTCCCGTTTTGCCGTTTGTTTGCCGGCTCCGTCGCCGTTTTTGTTGCCTTTTCCGGCTCCAGTTCCAATCCTTGAGCCATTTTTGCTACCGTTTCTGGTCGCTATGTGTTTTGCCGTTTCCGTTTAAAAGAAACACTTTTTCGGAAACGGTTAAACATGATCGACCCACGAACCCGGAAAGGAACATAGAAATGTAACGCATGGCAACGTGTTCAAAGACACCTGATTGGGTGACGGGCAAGTGCAATGCTGATTGTATCGATCTTGATGTACCGTGCCGAGGGCTGTGCTGTGCTGCACCGTGCTGAATTGCGATGTGCCATGCCGCGGTTGTGCTCTATAGCGTCGTGGATCGAGTCTTCCTTTGCATCCGAGTCCTGACCGAACTGATCTGGATCTGAAGCTCGAGTTGCCTGAACACATAGTAGCTGCCCCAGAGCTAATTGACAGGGGGACATGCCAGGAGGACGCGCCGCGAAACGTCCCAAGGGACGCGCCAGGCGACGTGCCAAGGGACGTGCCATGGGGTCGCGCTACGGGACATCCTCAAAATTCCTGCGCGCGGGACGTGGCACGCGCGAGACATCCCTGGAATTCCTGCGAGCGGGATGTGAAAACAAACATTTCGCCTGAGACATCCTCTGAATTCTGGCCCGGGCCCCCGCTCGAGACATCCCCCAAGTTTGCAAAAACCAGCGTTTCGCTCGAGACATCCTCAACAAATTATGAAAAACAAGCGTTTCGCTCGAGACATCCGGTCAAAATCCAAGGACATCCTAGAAAAACAAACCAATTAGTCGAGACATCCTCAAAATTCTTGCGCGCGGGTCGCGGCACGCGCGAGACATCCTTGGAATTCTTGCGAGCGGGACGTGAAAACAAGCATTTCGCCTGAGACATCCTCTGAATTCTGGCCCCCCGCGAAGCCCCCGCTCGAGACATCCAGAAATTTTGCAAAACCAGCGTTTCGCTCGAGACATCCTCAACAAACTATGTAAAAAAACGTTTCGCTCGAGACATCCTGCCAAAATTCTAAGAACTCCTGACAAAACAAGCGAATTAGTCGAGACATCCTCGAAATTCCTGCGCGCGGGACGCGGCACGCGCGAGACATCCTCGGAATTCCTGCGCGCGGGGCGCTTTTCCGCGTCGCGGTCGGGGCTCCAGACCCCGTTATTTGTAGATTCTGCGAAAAACGTGCCGCCCTTTTTTTTACGAGGGAAAACGGGGGTCTGCGGACCCCGTTTTCTATCGAGGATCCGAGATGGGGGGCGCACTTTCCTCGAGCGGGCACGCACGAAACGCATTTTTTCTATAGAAAATCAGCAGTTTACCTCGTCATTTACGCAGAAAAATTTCGCCGGCCCCCTTCAAGTCGAAACCGGGGATGAACCTACTAAAAGAGAACCGTGGGCCGACGCCCTTTCCGGAGGGCCGTTCCGGGGCAGACTGAGGCCCAGCCAGCGATGACTGAGGTGTGGGGTCGCCAGCAACACAAATCAGCTGCCCTATGAAGAAGCGTAGCTAAACCTACGCGGAGTCCCGAAAACCGCGCGCACCCGCGTGAACACGCGCGAGCAGAGCCTCGAGGGGGAAGGTTCGCTGGGCCCGTTCGGATGTCGCAGTCGCGCCACCCAAAGAACGCCGCACAAGGAACGAGGGGGCTCTTCGTGGACACGGCGCGCCTCGGCCACGAATGGGCTCCCCGACCTACATCTGAAGACAGGCCCGAAAACCAGAGTCACTCCTGAGCGCGAAGCGTTCCTCATCTCAGCACCTTGACTGTGACCCTCTGGTGCACCTGCGACCCTCTGGCCAGCAATGTTGCACGTCCAGCCGCACCCGCGACCTGCTGGTACGTAGGCGACTCCTCGAATCCACCGGCAAACCCGAGGGGACATCGCAAGGGCGAACCGCAAGATCCACGGGCACTCGCACGGGGGCAATCCCCATGGCGTCAACCGACTCGGCAGGATAGTTCGTCTCTCTTCCTTGGGCCATTGCATCTGTCCGACGAATCACACGCGCACACACGCTGGCTCGGCCCAGTCTGCCAGATTAGGTCGGGTAGGGCCTTGCACCAGACGGTGCGTGCGGAGAGAGGAGGAGGAGGAAGAGGAGGAAGAGGAGGAGGAGGAGGAGGAGGAGGAGGAGGAGGAGGAGGACGCGGAGGAGGAGGAGGAGGAGGAGGAGGGCGGAGGAGGAGGAGGATGACTCTTTGGACGACTCTTGGGGTGGGGGGGCGCGCGTCGCGCCCCCCCCCACCCGACCTCGGGCGCCCCGCGCCCCCGCGCGGCCGCTGCAGGGTCTCAGGCCCGCGCGACGGCGGCCGTCAGCGCCGCCCTCTCGCCCGCGGCTCGGCTGCCTGCGCCGAGCGGGCGAGGCGCAGCCGACTACCGCAAGAGGAGGCGGATTCACGGCGACGAACCTCCTTGCCCGTCTCGCTCGGGCTGCTGCCGCTTCGGGAACCGCGCTGATGAGCCCGCTCCCACTACGGGCCCGCTCTGGCGTGCCTCCCGCAGCACCCCTCTCCCACGTTCCGTGGCCCCACAGGGAGCTCCGCCTACGGTCCCAGTGGCGCAGCTCGCTTGGCGCCGCCGCACCATTTTGGCACAAACATCAAACGTGGAGCTCCACCTAAGGTCCCAGTGGCGCAGCTCGCATGGCGCCGCCGCTATATGTTGGCACACCCCTCACGCGCTTCGTGGCCCCATAGGGAGCTTCACCTAAGGTCCCAATGGCATAGCTCGCATGGCGCCGCCGCTCCGTTTTTGGCACACCTCTCCCACGTTTCGAGGCCCCAAAGGGAGCTCCACATAAGGTCCCACGGTGGTGATCTTTTGTAAGAGTTAGCAAACTTAGCAAGTGGTTTCGGGAACTTATAAATTGCGCTAGCCCGGCGCAAGTAGTTCCAAGTAGTTGCGTGTTGACATGCAGCCACTGCATTTTTAGCTTCCGACTTGATGCATCTCGACGCGCGAGGCGCAAGGCGAGCGACACTCTGCATTCGAACGCGTATTTCTTGCGTTGCTGAGCAAGAGAAAGTAGGTAGCAACTCGCGCGATGTCTCACCACTTGAACATGGGGGACACTATCGTGATTGACCCGCCTCCATGGCGCCTGCATGCCTTGCAAATCTTCAAACCTATCCAGCCGGCCACGCGGACGTCCCATCCATCGAAAATGTCCACCATGATTTTTTCGCAATTGCACGCGTGCGCTGCGGACAGTTGCTTGCAGACAGCACGCCCGTATAGCTGGTGGTGGTTTGGAAACTCGACGAACGCCCCGCCATGGCAGTGATGATGTCGGTCGTGCGCACCAGCTGCAAGTCGTCGTCGGCGGGGGCCACGGTCAGCACGCCGGGCCGATCATCGTAGCGAAGGGTGCCCCCGATCGAAACCAGCGACACCATCGTTCCTTTTGCAGCAGCGTGAAGCCAAAGCTCCCTACAAGCCTTGCCACCATTGGCAACGGACAGCAACGCGATGTCGCGGGGCTGGCATGTCGACAACGTCGACACCCGAGCTTTCAGAGCAGTGGCCGTGCTGTTCCAGGGGAAGCGCTGGCCGAGCTTCTCCTCTAGGAAGGCGTGCATCTTCTTGGGCGCCGCCCTAGGGCGCACCAAGTGCGGCGAGAAGTCAAACACGTTGGTGCTGTGTAAGTTTGCCAAATGCAGGCATGTGACCTCGGACAGCACGCACCTCTCAGAAGCTTCCAGCTGGCGCATACCCTTGCAGAACCGCTTGGGCACTCTGTGCTTTCTATCGTGTACAAAGCACGACAAAAGGCATCCGAACCTGATTCGGTGCCTTGGGAAATGGACAAGCCAGCGGAACTTCGGCGTCATGTATGCCTGCCACCCTGCTGCTTCACAAGCATCCAGAAACGCGTCCGTCCTGTCCCTGAGAGCGCCAGCAGACGCGCGGGATGACGCTGCAGCTTCGATGCGCCACACCAAATCACACAAACGAACAAAAGCGGCGCACTCCGCGCGCGAGACACCTGCAGGCCACATAACGGTCATCACGTACGCATGCATCAGCGGCGGCAAAGACAACGCCTCACTGGCCTGGCACTTAAACGCTTTCGCCTTGCCGTCGGCAATCTCGCGGGCTTTCTGGAAAAAAAGCTTAGCGCTCCCGCGCGCGATGGGCAGTGCCCACATACCGATATATCCCTCGAAACACGAGTACACGTTGGACAACCCATTACGCTTACA